TTCACTCTGAGATTTCACACTACTAGCAAAAGCATACCCACCATTCCCGATTCAAGAGCAAGTTCGTATAATTGCGGAACCCGTTGCTTATATCAAACACGGACTCCGTACCCCGGCCCCTCGTTTCGTAATCTACCCTGGTACGGCTATGGTAATATCCAATCAGCTTTGTTTGTGTCAAACTAAATCCACAAGACGTGCTGTCCTGCCTCGGGAGATGGGCTACCTTGTCCATCTAGATCGATGCCTATCGCCCAATTTGACAAAGATGCTCAGCCTTAGGCTGTCTCTTTGTCGGCCAGAGAGGCCTGTCAGCTGGCTCGATGACGACTCAGATTACGCATTCCGCGGGTACGTGCAATTCTTTATCATAAAATGATTGTAGTCTTCGGCACTCGTAGCTCTTTCGCATGCTCGCTTAGTCGGAAAAGATCAATCTCACCCTGGTTCTTATGCCTTACGTGATTTTGTGAATCCAGACAGAAAGAGAGCTGAGCACTGCGCTCCTGCACCAATGACATCGGTTCGCCGCAAATGGCATCTCAAGTCTCGAAATGGCTGCGACACTTGCAAGATGAGGAAAATCAAGGTGAGTGTGAAAGTGGTATCTTCCGTAATAGTACGACTAACCACCATCCATTCCATGTATAGTGCGATGAGCTTCACCCCGAATGCTGGAATTGCATAAAGAAGGGTTTAAGATGCAATTTCAAATCATTGCGACCAATTGCGGTGAAAGAGCCACCAGATATCGAGCTTGAGCACCTCGAGCATCTCGAGCTCCTACACCACTTTACCATCTCCACTGCTTCGACTCTTGCAAACGAGTCCGAAATTCGTGATCTGTGGCGCGTATGGGTGCCGCAGATCGCATTGTCCGTCCGTTATGTCCTTGACGGCGTACTTGCGCTTGCGGCTCTGCACAAGGCTCGTTACAATCCCGGAAGAAGAGAGAGTCTTGAAGCTCGAGCTATGGAATATCACAACGCCTCACTGGCAAGGGCCCTGCCTTTGGTCACTCATCCAAACCGGCACAATGGTGCTCATCTCTTCCTGTTCGGTGTCTTAACCCTCCTATTCAGCCTTGCTAAGCCTCGCTCGGCCGATGACATCTTTCTTGTTGGCGGTGGCGTCGTTCCTGAATGGCTCTATCTCCTCCGCGGAATCGACACTGTCATCGAGGCCGAGAGCGCAATTGAAGCGTCCCCCATATCACTTATTTTTCGCGCAACCAACCCGAGCTTTGAGTATTGGCGATCCCACGAGCCCCTGGAACATGATGCCCTTACCGCCTTGAAGGCCAATATCCGTGCTCGCGCACACGCTGCTAATCAAAAGACTCTGCTGGATGCAGTGGAGGCTCTGCAAAGAAGCTTCACCTTTCGTTCTAGAGACACCTTGCAGTTTCAACATAAGATGCGCGGATTCTACACCTGGTTGTACGATGTTAGTGATGAATATCTGAAGCTGCTACGGCAAGGAGACTGTGAGGCCTTGTGTGTGCTCGCTTTCTATTCTGTGCTCCTCAAGGACCTGGAACGGCACTGGTGGCTTGAAGGATGGGCTGTGCATTTGCTGCAACGTATTTATTTGTTAGTCGACGAGGAACATCAGCTATGGATTCGGTGGCCTGTTGAGGAGGTAGGCTGGGTTCCGCCTTGTGTTCCAAATATTAGCTACCAGACATGATCAACATCTTGATAGAGACATATCATATTGAATCCATTTGTTAAGTGGCGGCAGTTTTTTCAGGACTATAAATATCTGGTCAAGCCTGACTGTAATTAACCCGAGATCTTCTGTCAATGATATAAGAGTGCAGACAGGTAGAATGGAGACTCATAAGATTGAACTTATGAATCAAGTCTTTGATATTTTTACCTATCTAGATTGCTGCAAAGCAGCATGTGATATAAATGAAAATTAGAAAACAATCTATCTATCGCACAAGAGCAACCAGGGATCCCAGTATTCAACCTTTGCCATATCAATTATAACGAGTGTTATACTCACCGAATCCCATCATGCGCCCAAAGTGCGTTACCCAGCAATAATGCGACTTGAGAACCCGCCACAGATTAACTATAGGCTCAGTCAAACACTGGCCAGAGGCCAGAACTTGAATCTTAAAAGTCAGCTAGAATTTCAGCGGCCACCCGCTCTCCTGCTCGAATAGCCCCATCCATGTATCCAATCCAATACGGAGCCGTCTCCGTCCCAGCAAAATGAATCTTGCCAGCAGGAGCTCGAATAAAGGGCCCTAATTGGGTCAGAAGCCCGGGACCGGCGTTGGCAACTGGACCTCCACGAGAAAACTCCTCGAGATCCCATCTCTGAAGGAAAAAGTCTGACACGTCTGCCGCCCTAGGCCCAAGGTATCGAACCAAATCCTGGGTAACTAGGTCCTGAATCTCGGACACGGTCGCGCCATCAAGTGCGCGCATCTCATCAGCTTCAATGAAACCCATGATGGCGCCAAAGCTGGCGTTGGCCGGAGAATTGTCAAACGTGACGCGAATGACTCCGCTATCACTGACCACTCCGCCGTTGAGCCCGAGGCTCCGCCACCATGGAGTCGGGTATACTGCGATGGCCTTGCCCACGGCACCCATCGGCATGCGTTGAGTAAGCTGATCGCGGCCAGCGGGGAGCGGAGGGTCGTAAACAATCCGCGATGCAAGAGGAGGTGACATGGCGATGACAACGTGCTTTGCCCTGACTTGCGTGGATTCAGTCTGCACAGTATAGCCTTGGTCGTTTGCAACGACTTTGCGCACGGGTTTTGAGAGGAGAATGTTTTCCAAGCCAAGCTTTTGGGCCATTTTGATAGGGATGAGCTCCGTGCCTCCATTGACGCGGCTGTCCTGAGCTCCTCCCCTGGTACCCATCAGTCTCTCGACAGTGCCGGGCGTCGTTTCATTGCCTGCCGCTGCGATGTATGTAACAGCATAAAGCGTCGATATCTCGTTAAGCTCGGTCGAGAAGATGCTTCCCATAGCGGTGCTGATTATCGGGCGTGAACCATCCACCGTAGTCTTGTCTTGAACAAAAGTTTCCAACGTTATGCTGTCGAGATATGTGGCGTTTGGGTGGTTCCAGGGTGCCATAATATCAATTCCAGCGGCGAGCGTGTCGAGTTCGCCTAGGACACCGAAGAACTCTGCGAGCACGTCGTCCTCAAAGGGCGGCACCCCACCAGACGAGGTGTCATATTGATATGGAGTGGCGATTCCTTTATAGTAGAGGGTGCTGTTGCCAGTTGTATATGCCTCATATGTGGTGAGTCCCAAATCTGCAGCCCACGCGAGGACACGATCTTGTGTTGGGCCTACAAATTCGGCTCCTAATTCGGTAATACCCCCGTAAGGTATTTCTGCGTCTAAGACACGCCCTCCGACACGATCACGGGCTTCCAAGATGACAAAAGTCTTTCCGGCTGAGGCAATTTGGTGTGCGGTAGCAAGGCCTGATAGCCCTGCCCCGACAATGGCGACATCGACATTGAGGGTGTCTGCCAAAGTCATACTGGCAAGTGCCGGAATCAGATACATTAACTTGGTCATATTGGCTGGTCGAGTAGAGAGTTGTTGAAAGGTAAGGTAAGATAGTTTATTAGAAACGAGTGAGGATCACGGCACTATTTATCCTCATTTGTCATAGAAATTGGGGTGTAAGTCATACGTAGTATGTCGTTGCATTTTTGAGCGTTTCGGATTGTCGTACAGTCGGCCGTCTCGGGTTGTCGTACCCTCGGGCACCCTGGCCAGGCGTCTGATCCATACCCTTGAAGAAAAGTCGCTTCGTATCTTCGTTCAACTCAATTCTTGAAGACTAAGCTATATCCATAAACTTGCTAGAATACACCGCCTCCTGGATCCCCGACTTTGATACTAAAAGCGCGTCTTTTCGGGTTCCCGCTTCGTCGGACTTGTGGACATCTCACATAAACGGGATTCAAAATCCAACCGCTAAGCGAGTCAGGGTTCTGTTGGCAACTAATGCACGTCTCGGACCATCACAGGCAGTGTAACAATTCAAGCTCAGAATGCACAAGCACCGCGAAGGATGCTGCCACCCTCCGGCCAGCCTACACCTGGCTTGACGAAGTAAACGCAGTCAGAACGCCGGCTCATCCTACTTTTTGTGGGCTACAAATGGAGCATTCTCCGCAGCATGGTATTTAGCGAAGGCACATAAGCAAATAAGGTAGAAGTCTCTTCCTCAAGACATTGTTAAAACCAAAGGTCCAAACCTAAGCACTAACAGCCCATCCAACCTTGTGCGTAGCATTGCATTCCAGTTTCACAGTAGGATTACACAATAGCTATTGGTACTTTTGATCGCTGTTGGTTGCGGGCTGACCAACGTCAATATCAACTCCTATTGCTGCGCCACCCGATGTCGCATCACAGGCCATAGGAGAAGCGAGAAGCATTTTCCGATGTAACATAATAGTCACCAATAAAGCCTCTTAGGAAAAATCTGATTTGTTCTTGGCAAAACACCCTCTCGAGAAAACACCACCGATCTCCGAATCTGGCTGTAAAGTAATATATTGATCCTACGCCCATTGCATCGGCCCGAAGGATGTTTTGGCAGATGGACGACTACGCCGCCCGCTTTACGTAGACTTAGAGTTTTACTGTGGCCTGCACTTGTCACATGTCCACACACCGTAAGCTGCATTTGCCAAGATATGGTGTCACCCTGAGATAATGGAATCAAGGCGTCCCAACAGCCGACAATGGCTAGATCTTGCGAGTCACGAAGTTAAGTGATTTGTAACTAGCAATTTTGCCCAGAAATCAGTCTTAGGAATCATGGCGTGCCCGGCCTTAGGAGATGGAAATATAATTTCTCGCTTACTTCTTTATTATGTCTATCTTCTTTTCCGTGAAGCCCGGGTGACTTTGAGAAAAAGCGCATCAAGAAAGGATTCGATTTTAATCACTATTTCACAATTTTGCATCTTCGTTAGCAGAAGATGTTGTCTTTGAGACATGTCTGCAGAAACACATGACGTTGTTATCGTTGGCGGCGGCGTCTCGGGTCTAGTATTGGCCTATCGTCTCTCCGAGGACCTTAATATGCAGGTTGTTGTTCTGGAATGCGGCCAAGACTGTAGAGAAGACACAAATACATTGACCCCCGGCGCTTGGCCGTTGCTGACCAACTCTCCGTCCGACAGGACATTCCAAACGGTGCCGCAAAAAGAAATCACGAGACAGATCACGGTCCGCCAAGGGAAGGCTCTCGGGATATCCAGTGCTATCAACAGCTTTCTTTTCACGTCCACCTCGAAGACGACCGTCGACGGTTAGGAGAAGCTCGACAACCCGGGCTGGAACTATGCCGCGTCTTGCGGAAATCATTCACCTTGCATGAGCTAAATAGTGTGATAGAGGGCAATAGTCCGCTTCAACTCACTCTCCATGCCGCCGAGAGACCTTTGGAGAGGGCTTAGATCAAAGGCCTAAAGTCGCTGTGATTTCCTGTAACAGATCCTCTCCCTGGCGGCCTCGGTTGGCTAAACATCACTCCTGGAAGCATTGACCCAAGAACTAAGCAAAGAAGCTATGCTGCCAATGCGTACCTGGACCCAATCAGAAGCAGGCCGAATCTGACGGTTCGTCCTGAAACAACTGTGACCAAGGTACTTTTAGAGAAGCCTTCGGGAGGTGGTAAAGCCGTGGCAAAGGGTGTTGAGATAATCGCTCATGATGATTCTCTCCAAACTGTTGAAGTCCGCAAGGAGGTCATCATTTCTGCCGGCGCAATCAATTCACCCCGGCTCCTTGAGCTTTCTGGAGTAGTCGGTTCTGAGCTGCTCCGGTGTTTAGGAGTCGATGTTATCGTGGATAATCCATTTGTCGGCGAGAACCTTCAGAACCATCTGTTTACGGGACTTGTCTTTGAAGTACAAGATGTAGATACTATCGACGCCTTTTTCCGCCAACAGCCTGATGCTGTCGGTGCTGCTCTACAAGACTTTGGTACCAAGGGAATCGGTCCGCTAAGTACGAGTAATATGATCACAATGGCCCAGATCCCTTTGCCTGAGGTTAACACTAAAGACGGGCGCAAGGAGCTCGACCAGATGTTTAGCACCTTTGGTGTTAATACTCAGGCACAAACATAACTAACAGTCCCATCAGCATATCTTGCCGCGCAAAAGGAGTTTCTGCACCCCATCTTGACTGATTCCTCTGAGGCCCTGGGTAACTACGTCTTTGGTTTGGCCTATGCACCATTTGACGCCCCTGACCCGAGTTATCGTGCACCAGGCAAATATGTATCGGTAGCCATCGAGCTATTGCATCCGCTCTCTCGCGGTTCAGTACACATGACTAGCCCTGATGGTGCCAAGTATGCTAAAACAAGTTAAGGCGTTTCAATTGACTTCCGTTACTTGTCTAATCCACTCGACCTGGACGTGGAAAGATACTTCAAATAGCGGGTGTCTAATTTGGGCGTGGACGCGGACATTTGGCCCGTTAGTTTCTTGAACGACAATGGCACGGTCCATACTCAGTTGTGTAGGCTTTATCATTGCTAAATCATTGTGGCTCTATCTAATTGTGTCCTGTAACTTGAACCCGCTGCCTCGGCTGTCTCTTTTTCCCGGTGGCCCTCGACTAACAATACGCAAATGGGTCCGGAGTAAAATTTTAGCTCACGGGATAGTGTCTGTCACTCAATTGCAATCAATTATACATTGAAACGCTGCAGCGGAAATGACTCCCAATATGCTTAGCCTCGTCTGGACTCTGTGGCGGGAAGCGGGTTTGTGGGAGCCGACGACAAGGGTCTTGGTCCAAGCCAGCCAACCAGTTGCACTCTGTCTGTCACCTCGGTATGTGGGCGGACTTCCTATCATTAGCCCGACCTTGCCCTGAAACGCCAAGTCTGGGCCGAGAACCTTGATCTATTAAGCTTGGTACGCTTAACCATGAGCCTCATCGTGTCGGTGCTTCACTTTTATTCAAGCGCTTAACTAGATCGTGTCCCAATGTGGCAATATCCCACCGAGAACTCCGGGCAGAATCCGGCATAATGATCCATAGTTCATGTAATGGTGGCAATCTCAAGGCATTATAAAAGGGCCAGTGAATCCAGAGTGCTCAAGTATTTCTCTTGGTCGTTACTGCCATTGCCTCGCCTTTCTTTCCAACTGCTTTGTTCTTGACCCATCTACCGTTGACCGGTTCTTCGTTTCCTCAAGTCCCACCAAAACAGACTCGTCAGAATGCACGCTCCCAGCTTCGTCGCTCTTCTCGCCGCCGTCCCTTCGGCCATGGCTTGCCTTGGCTACACGGGCGGTGTGCCCAAGGCCACTGGGTCCAAGTCCCTGAGCGCGCCCAAGACTCTTAAGAAGGGCGAGGTCTTTGATGCCCAGTGGGTTCGATACGACCGCGGTGTTAAATGCACCGGTCAGAGTGAGGGTGGTATGTAGTGGTTTCTTCCAGCTTATCCTGCTGTGATAGTATGTACTGATTCTCCATCAAGGCGACGCGGATGCCGTCTTCATTCTCGAGGAGGGCGCTACGCTCCGCAATGTTGTCATCGGTGCCAACCAGAAGGAAGGCGTCCACTGTCTCGGCGCTTGCAACCTCGAGTACGTCTGGTTCGAGGATGTGTGCGAGGACGCCATCACCATCAAGGGCAGCGGCACTGCCAATATCATTGGCGGCGGCGCTTACCATGGCTCCGACAAGCTCATCCAGCACAACGGCTGCGGCCACGTCAACATCATCAACTTTTGTATGTGCAACCAACAAACCCTGCAGCGTATTTTTTGTAACCAAATTCTGATAACCCCACGATAGATGCCAATGACTACGGCAAAGTCTACCGTTCTTGCGGCAACTGCAAGGGCAACTCCAAGTGCAAGCGATCCGTCCACATGGAGGGCGTCACCGCTGTCAACGGTGGTGAGCTCATCGGCATCAACACCAATCTCGGAGACAAGGTTTGTGATAGGTCCGCTAGACATTTGGCATGCGTTCATACTAACAACACGGGCTCAGGCTACCTACTCCAACAACTGCTACCCCAAGACCCAATGCCAGGGCTACAACGGCTGTGACAAGTCTAACGGCGAGTGTGAGCCGACCAAGGCTGGCAAGTGCTAAGCGCTTGCACACTCAACTGGGAATAATTCTGGTTTTTCGAGCTTATTTTTTCATTCATCCTTTGTCGCTTTGCTAGCGGACTCCAAAGTGTCCGATTGTGATGCGATAGATTTTTAAGCATATAATCTTGTCGGGCGGTATATATAAAGATTAGTTGATAGATTAATAAACAACTTTTTCGCCATCGCGGCTTGTGGGTGTAAGATACTGAGTGATTGGCCTTATTAAATGGCTAAATTTGGGGACATAATTGGGAAACCTCTTCGTCCTTCCTAGTTGTCATACTTTTTTCTTGGGTCAACCGTGAAAGAGGGTAGAAGCGCAAAAGGGGGACTGTTACATGTGGTTTGATCCAACGGTTGCCTTGGCGCCCTTGTCATATGAAAACTCCATAATGTCAAACGGACGTTGCCCTCGCCTTGAGACGCAAGGGGAAGCGCAAGGGGAAGGAGCGTGGCTTTTTTTGCGGCCTCCGCAATAAGGTCCTAGTCTGGGTAAGGTGGAATGTGGTCTTTTCGCTGTAATATGTTAAGATGGTACTTTCTAATATAACTACAGCTTATTGCTAGCTAGGTAAAGCTTAGATTTCCAGTGTCTTGGCTTACATGTTGTACAATAGGTAAATGACTGGAACAGTAAAATAGATGCAGGGCGGATGAATGATTTAAGTAAATACAGTAGTATAACTACTTCGGTCAAAGTCAGCCTGATGGAGCCATGACACTACTACTACTCATATCATAGGTAGGCTCTAATTCATAGCTTCTACACTTGATAAAGCCAACGAATGGGTAAGCTCGCATCTCAGCACAAAAGAATTAAGATCCTCGTGTTTTCCCTTGCTAAGGGAGACCTAGATCGAGATCAGCCGGTGTTGCGCTAATACCTGTACGTGTACGCTGATGGTCGCGTAAGCGACAACGTTCAACAAGAAGGAACTCGCTTGTTTCGGTCAACATCCAAACAGAAGTGCCCTTTTGAGAATTAACAAGGTAAGCCCTAGCACAAAGACAGCACTATGTGCGACTATTTAAGGCGCAGAGGGACTAATGGTGATCGATGGTGTAAGCCAAGCCGACCATGGTGATCTATTCCAATTGCGAGCTATGCGGCACGGATACTGGCCTATGAGGCTTAATCTCTGCTGAATAGCTCCCAGTAATACGTCTACGTCATTCGTGACCCAAGTCTATAAAATCATCATACAGCCGTCTTATTTTGGGCATGAGAGTTCTTTACATAAATTACTTCAATTCATAAAATACTCATCATGGCGCCTGAAGTTAATGGAAGTTGTGGTGGGCTCAGTTACAGCACTACAAGCCGCGAACTCATCCCAAGCAATGACACCCTTGCCATCGCAACCTACAAGGGGTCAAATACGACTCTCCAAGACGAGCCGCGCTACCTGGCCCTCTCGAGCTGCTGCGACCCGAACAAAGCTTCAAAGGTTGACAGCGACTGTCTAATATGGTGCAACCTTCCTCCTCAATACGTCAATGACACCGATGGCTTCCATGATTGTTTCAGAAACATGTTGAGCCACTACAATAAAGAGAAAAACCAAACGGCGACAGGAGGTTTTATGACCGTCTATAACTCTACAAGCCAAGATAAAGAAAGTGGTGGACCCTCTAAATCCCCAAGTGTGGCAACCGTATTCACGCTACTCACTCTATTCTGCTCTTTTACTTTCCTATGACAGATGAATGAGCAATTTCACAATTGGGAATTTTATCTTACATTGCAGTCATCAACGTATGAAGTTACTATTAATTGAAACTTTGAAATACATTTACCGTCGCGCGCCTAAGGCCTGAGTCACTACTTGGCTTTAGATGACTACGTATCTGGGACGTTTTGTAACATCACACACATACAGGTCTTCATCAGAGCCCCATCCATACCTGCCGTTTTCATTGGCGTCCCGACCGGTAGGATCAAAAAGTCTGCCCTCGTAGTGCCCATCCTCATGTGTCAGCAGCGTCAGGTTATTTGCCATGAACGCGCCTCTAGTGACTTGTGCTTTGAAGTGCCTATCCCAGCCCTGGATAAAGTTGTATCCACCATCTCCAGCCTCAGGGTCTTCGTATTCAAACAAGTTCAACTCGACCGTGATGTAGAGGTCTTCCCACTGATCTTGAAGCCCTGCGAGCTCCCGCTTCCAATCGTTGACATATACGGACATCTCTCCATACCAAAACACGAAGGAGACCATCCCAACATTGGGTAAATCAGACTTGAGACGAAGAGCCTCCCCAGTCAACAGTTTGGCCAGTGCATTCCCTTTTCTGTCGTCATCCCAGAAATCGTGGTCTATGTCTTGCTTGCCGTCTGGTGTGTATAAGTAGACCTGCTCGGTTTGCGAGATTTCAAAGATAATGCTCGTAGCGGAGCCCCTGCGTCTCTGGGAAAGTTTGGAAACGGGCAGGTCCAATTGTTGGTCACCCTTGATATATTTTCTGGGCTCTTGTATCGGTATCACCAGGGCGTGGTTGCCGTAAAGACGATGTTGCAAGTCTTCTGTGATTCTTGGATGGACGTAGAGCAGTGGTGCCGTGGTGGGAGTGTACGCCGTTCCTCCATCATAAATGTTACTTTCGGAGACATCTTCGAAGCATAATCATAGATGGCCAAACAAACCTCAATAGGTAATCTCAACAGGTATGGTCCAGTCATTTTGGCGCGGGCAAATGGCTCAACAAAAGGTTGATCGATACTTTGCCGGTGTAAGAACTCACAGCATAAGAGAAATGGTGTAATATTGTGAAGACTTTATATGTATGATGGCCAGTGGTTACGAGCGCTCTCGCCTGGCTTAATGCACACAGTTTGGATCTTTGGTTGAGCATGAACGTTCCAGGCAGGTTTCCACTTATTGCCGGTTACTTCCACCAAAAGGTGATCACTCCTGTGAGGAACAGGGTTCAAGTCGCATTCTAATTAACGCATTCGTGAATTTATACATAGTACAATTGTCTAAGAGCGGATCCTCCCGGCTCATATCAAGGCCATTTGAAGAGGCTACCATAATAAGGAAACTACCGTCTAGGGGATGCCACACCGTATTTAAGCATTCAAACGTCGTTGAATAAGTACTCATTCATTTTCTCAAAACAGACTAAATGCATTCTCAGCACAGTATGAAGTTAAACAACAATAGAAGGTGCCAGACCCGACATCTCAACACAGTATACGAGAGATCAAAAACGCGCAAAGAAGGCACAAGGGTCAATATACACAGGCTACTGGTCTTATTGTGGTCTGAGGTTTGTGAAGTGACCTGAAGGGATTTTTCAACAAGAAGCTTCAACGGAAACCTGCTGTGCTCTATTGCCTGCGTTGCATGGAACTCTCAGTAGGTTAGTCTTGGGCTTAGGTGAGGCCCCTCTTCCCTTACTTCCGATGCTCCTGATTAAGCTAACTATGCCGTATTTTTAAACCCTTTGACGCGACGAACAAGACCACGGGGATCGATGAGGCGAAGGATTTCTCTCCAGAATGTGGTAGGCATCTCCTCCTCCATTTCCTCGTATACGGCAATAGCGTCTGCCTCCCACTTGAGATCAACTTCGCTGGGACGAAGCCACCTTGTCTTCTTGAAAAGCTTCCAAAAAATAAAGCATAATGGGTTGAATATCAGCATAGTGTAGGAAAGGAAAAAGCTGGACACGTCCCATGGCGTGAAACTCTTGTAGCCGAAGCAAAAGACAAGTATGACAAACCAAGCCAAGCCGATGTAGGCAGTATACGGCTGCAGCTGGCCGAGGTAAGGAAGAGATGACCGATCGAAAGCCTGAGCCTTGCAAGCTCGGTAAAAGCAAATGTAAGTGATCATGATGATAATATAGTCAATAAGAATGTTTGCCGTGGTGATGGAAATGAGCCAGTTGAGAACCTGGTACGATCCTCCTGATAATTGTAGTAAAGATAGAAACGAGAAAGCGATAACCACTGCGAAGCAGTAGAGTGGTATACCCTTCTTCGTCGTGTAGGCAAGGAATTTCGGTGCGCGGCCGTTGATTGCAAGGCCATGCAAAGCTCTCGTTGCAGCATAGGTGTAGGTGTTGCCGGCCGAGAAGACGGAAGTGAGCATGAGAGCGCTGCATAGGTCAGGGAGGCCTTTAATCCCCAAGTTTTTCATGGCTAGGATATAAGGAGAGGCAGCAGCCGACGATTCTCCACTTGTGATGGCCTCGACTAAGCCAGCATCATTATGGGCAATGATGATTCCAACACATAAGGCACCTCCAATGAAGAAGACGCCGAATCGCCAATAGACCGTCTTGAACGCGCTCTTGATATAGATACGAGGATGCTTTGCCTCAGCAGCCACCATTGAAATGTACTCCGGCCCGACACATGTAAATATAGCGATCCACAAGGCGCCGAGAAAGCCTTCGAACCGACCAAGACTGCCATTATCGTATAGATTCGCGAAAGGTCCGGGATCCTTCCAGTATCGAAAGCCGTATGCGTCGTGCTGGGTATTGCCGCCAACCATAGTAATGAAGGTGAAGAAAAACAAGATGAAGATCAAGAGAACTTTCCCCCCAGACAGCCAGAACTCAGCTTCGCCGTAGGTTCCGACGGCAAAGAGATTGATGAGTCTATATTCATCAACAGTTAGCACGGTACTTCAGATGAAACGTGTAGTAGGGGTTTGGTGAGTGACTCAAGGGGCCAGGGTAATTCCATACGTATACACGGCAATGCAGACGAGACAGACTGCAAGCACCGGGATGTCATCTCTCCAAAATGATAAAAGGAGATTCACCGCGGATATTTCGAAAGGTACGGTCAACGCCATATAGATGAAGAAATTCCAGCCGGCCATGAAGCCAAAGGCATCGTCAACCCATTTTCCGGCAAGGGAGATGAAACCGCCATTCACAGGCATGTAAGTCGTCATCTCTGCAAGGCAATTATTGAGGAATCCAACCATGGTACATTCAATCAGGAATGCAATCAATAAGCTGGCGGGGCCGCCTCTATAGAGGGCAGACCCAATAGCTATAAATAACGCGGTTCCAATGGAGCCGCCGATAGCAACGAGCTGGATTTGCCGTGGTCCGAGTCTGCGATGGAGGCCTGATGAGCCACCTTGAGCAACGGAATTTAGGACATCCATTAGCTCGCCTTCCTTTGGATCGATATCAGACATGGCTTGGACTGGGGGCTTGTCGTCGGCCAATATCTGGCTGCCTTCTTGGGGGGTTCTGTTAGCCATTTGTGGGCTGCAAGGTCTGAAAGTGTCTTAAAAATCAGTTTGAAACCCAAAAAGAGGGAAAACTGGTATAAAAGTAGAAGAAATGTGAGTTGTCAGGGCAGGTTGCATCTGAGGCAGGGTTGCAAGGAGTACATATAGCTATCTTTGGCCGCGAATTTACCTGGCCCGGGGAAATCCCAGACTCCATACCCCATACCCCACGAAATCTCACAGCACAGATTAAGATCAGATATTTCCCTCAGCAATGGGGGCCTTGAGGGAGACGATTATCATTACACCCCATCTGATTCGTCGGAATGAGGTGGTCGATGGAACGGGAACTCCCATGCAAGATCATCTCACGATTTCGCTTACAATGCTAAATGAAGCGCAGTTTCAAATTACACTAACAATACCTAGATGGGCAATTATCTGACACTCAATCTTGAGTCGTGCACTACATTCATTGGGCATCAGGACGGATGTAAGCCTCTTTGACCTCAACTTGCTCCACAATACCTGAAAATTCCCACAAAAGGCAAATTAATCCCCGTGTTATTCTCATTCGGCATGGGGCAGCCGGATTCAATCTGTCCATTCCTAAAGTAGTAATTAAGTCCACTGCCTCTCTACAGTAAACTCGCTCGACAAGGATCAGTTCCCGGCCACTAATTCAGACTTCGGTACGACCACACCAAGCTAAGGAAGTGCATTGTTAGCTAGACTAAGAGATTATTGCAGAATGGCTCTTCTTAACTCTGACGGCCCTTTGTAATGACTTACACTGCTTGGGTGAGGCCCTTCGTTCGCAGATTGCATAAATCTTTCATATTATCTTTGTGCCTCGCACGGACAAGAATGAATGAAATCATTGTTCATCATAATCTACCGCCCCGAGACGTTTGAACATATCGATCCTTCGAGCAACTTTTTGTTTCTGAAACGCCGAGAAGTCCTACACGCAGTCAAATCGTCATGCAAGCCGCCAATAGTGTTCAAAAACGTCTTGCCAAGGGCGATGCAAGCTATGGGGTTTGGCAAATGCTCCCAGGGTCCAACCTCACAAGGACCATGTGCCGGTCGGCCGACAATATTGACTGGATCCTAGTTGATCAGGAGCATGGAAACATTTCCGATGACTCTATGCATGAAATAGTAGCTGCTGCTGCTGCCTGTGGAGTGTCTCCTATTGTCCGCGTAATGGAAGGGCAACGCTGGATGATCAAGCGAGCCCTGGATGCTGGAGCACATGGAATTCTTGTTCCTATGCTGGACACTGCAGAAGAGGCCAAGAAAGTTGTTGAATACTCCAAATACCCGCCGCTCGGCCGCCGGGGATTCGAGCCCCTGCTCGCGGTGGACAAGTTTGTTGAGCAGCATCCCCATGGCGGTCCGATCAAACAGCTGACCGGCCTTGAATATTTGGCACAGGCCAACAGCTCGCTAGTCATAGCTGTGCAAATTGAGACTATGGAAGGTCTACGAAACGTCAACGAAATCGCCGAAGTGCCAGGGATCGATGTCCTCTTCATCGGTCCTTTCGACCTGGGCCTCAATATCGGACACCCGGTTCCTGCCTCGGGGAAAATGGCTCAGGAGCTTGCCAATGCCATCGATAAAGTCCAGAAAGCTGCAGCTGCCGCAGGAAAACTCAGTGGCATATACTGTGATACTGGCGAGCAGGCTAGGGGCTACGCCAAACAGGGGTTCAAGATGATAAGTGTCATCACAGACATGATTGCTTTACGGAAGGCTTTTAGAGAAAATTTAGATGTATTATAAAGTTGATCGATAATCAGACGGAAGTCTCAAAGATGATAGGTCGAGAGAATGTAAATCTGTCGACCCAGTGTTACCAAATCCTGCAGCCAGTTTCAGGATATAAGGTGTACATAATAAAAGAAGCAACAAACTCTATCATATATCATTTACGTTTCATACTGGGCGTTGGTCTGTTGGCTCCTCTGATGATTGAGCTACCTTATTCTAGAAGCAAATGCTTAACCGCAAGGGGTGATGCCGGGCCAGGGTCTTCCATTATTAATGTTCACGGTGTGAGTTAAGTTCCTCAAGCTCTCACACGCTTGACAGATCATGACAGAGTAACTAATTAAACTAAAGACCAATCTATGATCTAGGTCCATATATATATGGGAGGGAAAGACAGATATTTGGTAACTTGGAGTGGTAGTAACTTTAGCCGTTCTGTGTTATAGGGTAAGCTCTACATGAATTCTGCTGCCGACGTCGTATCGGTGCTAAATATGGGGCGTATGGTGCTGAGACAGCCTCAGCAGCCAATCACTGTACCTTCTTTGTGCATTACACTGGGGTGTTCAGCTGCTTACGTTACCATATTAGAAAGAGAGGGAATGGATCCGCCGGGGATATCAAGCGTTGGCCCACTTTGGGAGACTTTGACACGGGGAATCTGCTAGGCTGGTCGAGACCAACAGAGCCCGGATCTGTGTCGGAGGCAGGATGGTTTCAACCCCATACTGGGAGTCACGTGCTACTTGCGGAGTAGTCATCAACCCCCGGCCACCATGACTTTCGAAGCGATCACCGGACCCCAACGCGACGTTCTGCACCCGTGGTGTCGGATACCGTTGCAGAATGGCGACCGCCGGCGAAACTCGCCCTTGCTCGTCACAGGGTGCCAAGGAGCTGTCCGGTGAGGCCAGCCGTCAGGATCCGGGAACGACTCGCGGGTCGCGCAAGAGCCGGACCGGATGCTCTGTATGCAAACAGAAAAGACGCAAGTGTGACGAGACAAGGCCAGGTTGCTTGAGATGCCGGTACCATAATATTGAGTGCCCGGGTTATGACCAAGGTATCAAGTGGCGCCCAGTCAATGTTCCGGCTGTCGTTCGCAAGCAGCCGAATGGTGCGTTTTGGTAGTCCTTGTAATGAGTAAGTATCCGTCGGCTGACCGAGGCAACGTAGATAGTTCATCGTCTATCAGTCGCCGAACGACAACGCAAGCAAGGACGACGGCTGGAGGTGAACAACCCAAAGACCAAAGCCAACAAGACATTGGCTCGTCAAATTTCAGACTACAGCAGCCTCACCAACAGCCTGGCCCATGGTCACTGCACTCCTCAACTATATCGCCATGGCTTGACGTCAACGTCCCCCAGGCCCTCGCGGCGATGGAAAGCGGCTCCTCAGACTCTAATGTCATGACATCACATTTCGTGCTTGACAACCTCAATGTCGACAGTTTCCCTGTATCGCAAGGCGCACCTTTCGACCTAGATGTATTCATTAATCCCCCATTCGAACAACATCCGTGGGAGGTTGATTTGCAGCACCTCAGCTATCTGGCGTACAAGGATGATTCGAACAGCGGGAAACTCGTTTCCGACTCCCGGGATACGCCCAGCGGGGATGGGCACTCCATTGCCGGAAGTCTTCCTGACTCTCAACTCGGCCCAGCAAGAGCGCAAGCCGATGGGCACGATTATCTGCCTCGTCCATTTCTTGAATCGTGTTCCCCTAGTCATGCAGTAGCTCAGCCAGCAACACCGCCGCCGCAGCATGCCCTACCGAATGACAAGACAAGCGATATTATACGTTTATTTGAGCAGCATACCAGCAGAAGCCTTTCAATCAGCGACGACCCTGCAAAAAATTCTTGGCTAACTGATATTTGGCCACTCTCTTCCATCTACGCACCTCTGTATCATGCACTGGCGGCGATGACTTGCTTACACGGGCCCTCGAGCTCGGAGCTATCGTCACTGGGTACAAGGCACTTGGAATGCGCCTCCAATAGTCTTCATGCGCCCATTATTGATGGTGAGAGATCCGAGGCACTGAGAGCTGATATTGCGAAAATCATCTCTTTGGCATATTTGAGCTTATGGGATCCTCAAAGTTCCGGCACAGGGCTTTCTTATTTGGCTGAGGCCAGGACGCTTGTCAAACAGGCTGCTGCGCAACATTCAGACACGCAAGTCCTCGCAGAAAAGTTGAAACCTCTTCGTATGCTTATACACGCTGTTTTGTATCTGGATGTCATGAGTCGCTTTGGCGTTTCGAATGTCCTCCATCCCAGTCACGAGGGTTTTACGGAACTCTTGAACCTCGCTTCTTTGACCCAGTCCGAGCCCGAGCAACACATCGAATCTCTTGTTGGGTTTGCACCTACACTTTTCTCTTTACTAAGCCGACTGGCCGATCTTGTTGCTCAGGTTCGAAGAGGAGGCGGAAAGCGTAGTTCGCTCGATCAAATTTCCAAGGCCACTGACCTTAGGGCAGCCTTTGAACGTTGGACCCCGGATGTCGACGTGGACAGGTGGTCAGATGGCAGGGCACTCCTGACAAACACCATACAAACAACCGAAGCATACCGTTGGGCTGCTCTACTACTGGTTCGCCAAGCGGTGCCGGAAATCCCTTGGGCACAATCACAGGCTGACCTGGCACATATGAGCCTTTCATATCTGGCCACGATCCAGAGTGAATCATCCACAACAGTCGCACACACATTTCCCCTACTAGTAGCCGGCGTTGAAGCAGTTGATCAGGATAATAAGAATTGGATTCGTGCAAAGTGGAGATATATGTCGGAGACAGTCAACATGAGTCATTCGGCACGCTTTCTAGACATAACAGAGGAGGTCTGGCAGCGGCGAGAGGAATTTGAGCAACGCAAAGGCTATGACTCCAGGGGACAAGGTGGACCAGGTTCAACCCAGGACGACGCAGTTAATCAACGACTAGCCAACTTAAACACGACCGACTCTAATGGCAGGAGAAATCAATACCTCAACCCCAGCCAGCATATTCACTCAACATCGACCAATTTTCCGGATTCTTTGGCCTTCAAAAAGGGCATAGATCCCCTGACGAGATCTGGCCTCACAGAGTACACAGTTAGAGGCTCTCTGCACTTTTTGACTGTTATGAATGACTGGAAATGGGAACGTAAGTCTTATCCTTTATTCAAAGCTTAGAGTTTATTACCCGCAATGAGGGACTAACTTTAGCAAAACAGTAATGCTTGGTTGAAGTTGTGGCGCATCCCTGCCTGCTTCACTTCCTACCAAAAGATCTTGCAAGGCCTGCCCCAGGGAGCAAGTTGTACTCCTAGAGACTGTAGGCCGACATGATCGAGCTTGCACCTGTGATGGCACATTAGCCAATTTTAGAGACAATAATTGGTGATTACGACTGGAGATGCGATATGAATCCAAGGGGATAACAGTTTGATTCGGATGCTGAGTTGGTTGCCATGCGTCCAATCCTGACCAATCTCACTTTGAATGTGCTTTGCTGAAACTCTCAGGACACTGGAGATAGAATATCGTCATAGGAAGCCATCAGTTTTAAGAAGTAGCTTTACTAAGACATTACTTCATCAAGTATCACTTTACTAGGATATCACCTTGCTAAGACATCACCTTACTATGATGCATCCGTGCTAGCCTTTCTTATGCCATACGCTGACGCGATATTGATGAACCTAGTGACATGTAGCTTTGAACTGGCGCGATGGTTACGGACGCAGTCAGGGTTGATTTACGGAGGAGGAGGGGAACTCGGTTGTTTCATGACATCCCGAGCGGGCGCTGCTGAAGACGGGTTTCTGATCCGATCCATGCTGAGTATGTGGCCGAGACTGGTCATCTCGTGATATGGTGGAAAAAGAACAGAGGACCAATAGGTTGGTGCAGTTTTTTCCCTAAATAGGAAGTGGGATCCGTCGCTGTGACCTGTGACTGCGGGGATTGATGACTGATACGTACGTCTTGCATCCGGGGATTGCTATGCTAGTCTCTTTGAGTGTAGCGCCAGTTGGGAGCTTCCCAAGCATTGAAAGTCTATACTAACTACGTCGGTAGTCACGAGACTAAGATCAGTATGGGCTGGTACATAAATTGTTGATGTGCAACTCCTGAGAATATACCCATCCGACTTGACCAAAGGCAATTGAGAGTTTTCACAGGCACAGTTCGTCACAAAGTCTTCTCAAAAATCAACTACTAGCACTGCAAAATGGCTACCGTCACTTTGACAAAGACTCCTCCCAAGATCAGCCATTTGGCCACGACTTTGCAGACCACCAGACCAGAGGGATCTTTACCCCACGACTTCCTTGAAGAAGCACGATCTGTCAAGAAAGAGCCATTTGATGCGCAGAAGCATGTTGCTTATCGGCCTCCCAAGCATATCTTCTCCATGAAGGATATTGGCTTGGAAGGACAAGGAGTCTCCCCCAACGCAGTTACCGAGCCCTTCAAGTTGTTTTCCCAAGACGCTATCAAACAGATGCGAGCTGAGATCTTCAGCGAAGATGTGCTTGAGAATTGCCAATACTCCTCACCTTTTGTCAAGCGAACCGTGAGGGGCATGGGCCCTAAGTATGTGGAAATCATTTCCCTCATTTCCTTGGTATTGTCCTATGTGCAATGAGAGACTGATGGTTCATAGGCGAGCTCCCTTTACCTATGATGCTTGGCGCTCAAAGGAGGTCCTTGACAAGATCTCCGAAGTAGCTGGAATCGAGCTGGTGCCCGCTATGGACACCGAAATCAGCGCCGTCAATATTGTCGTCAACGGATCCACGGGCGCAGTCGCCCCTTCTGTCGACAGCCAAGTGAAGGTTGAGGATGAAGTGTCAGCATTTGCATGGCACTACGACAGCTACCCCTTTGTCTGTGTGACAATGCTTTCCGACTGCACCGATATGATCGGTGGCGAGACCGCCCTAAAGACTGGCAGCGGAGAAATTATGAAGGTCCGAGGACCTGCTATGGTATGCCCATCTATGAAACGTCAATTGCACTTGAGATGGTATCTAACATTTGACGTAGGGAACAGCTGTGGTTATGCAGGGCAGATACATCAACCACCAGGCATTGAAAGCGCTTGGGGGCCGTGAACGAATCAGCATGATCACATCCTTCCGGCCCAAATCGGCAGATGTCATGGATGAGAGCGTTTTGACCGGTGTCCGCGGTATTAGCAACTTGAATGAGCTTTACTCCGACTACACCCAGTACCGCCTGGAGCTTCTCGAGGATCGTTTCCGTGAGCAGGCAAGGCAGCAGCGCCAGCGAGTTGTCGAAGGAAAGCAGTTTGACACACGAGATGTGAAGGAGTTCTTGAGGCAGCAGAAGGACTACATAGAGACCACCCTTAATGAACTTGTCGAGTAGTTGATTGAATACATGACTACTGCCACTTTTGAATCTTTTACGAAGCGGAGCGTCTTACGCCGTGTTCTGAAGTGAAAAAATCAGTAGCGGTGGTTAGAGTCAGTCTTGAAGTCTGCACGGAAGCGAAACTTTAACTCCTTTGGTACTAGATTTATAGAAGGTTGTCCTGGTCATAACATGGAAGCCTGTCTCCTCAACTTAATTTAGAACTTGCGGGAGCGTGATTCCGTTACTAGAAGATATACGTACCAGCCTTAGCGATGAGACCCTCGAGTGTCCATACCAACTTTGATCATAGTATGTTTGGTCCTCTGATGAAATACATTGTCTCGATCTCGCCATATCGTTTATTTATGAAATGCAACATCCACCTCCGTACACTGTGTTGATGCCACAGTTACCACTGTCTTGTAAACCAGGTAGTCGTTGTAGCTGTACTTTCTTCCCTTGCACCCAAAGCCGCAATGCTTGATGGCACCAAATGTAGAGGAAACGAAGTCAGTATAGACTTTTCGAGCCCGCGGTAGAAGAGATCAGCTTATGGTGTGGCAAAAACAGCGAAGATTGCACTATTGAGGTGGTTCCGCTTGGATCCAGCCTGGAATTGTACATCGAGAATCCGAAATTACGTAAAGCCTACTTAGTCACGTTGCCCCCTCTCCCATATGCTTTCTTGCCTAGCTTGGGCAATGGGATTTCGCAAGGGTTTGAGGATACCTTGTCCCTTGCCTGCTGCTTGAAATAGGCCGGCAAGGGTTAGGAGCATAGCTACCAAACTATCCCCACACTCCGCTTTGAGCGCGTATAGACGGTACAAAAATTTGCTAAGCAAGATGCCTTACATCATGGCGATATAATACGAACAGTGAGTAACTCGGCTAAGTCATTGAATTCATTTGAATGGCTTTGGAGCCACAAACAAGGCGGTATGCGATTGATCATTATAACGAAGTCAAGGATCAAATATTGAACGTCGCTCCCTTTGAGAATATCAATATTCTGTATAGGTGTCATGCCTAGACAGTAATAAAGGTGACGGCCGATCTTTTAGCCCGGGACACGGTAATGAGAGGGACGAATGAGCCCTGAGGATGATTTGCCAGACTTAAGCTAGGAAAAAGATAACACTACTAAGTAGTAAATTTAATAGGGCTTGAAAATGGAGGGAACAAGAGGAATTGGCATCGTATTGCTCATACTTGGCTCGTATCGTGTGGATGCCTGCTAATCTAGGGCTTGATATTCCGCGAATGTGTGTAAAGTCATTTATGGGTTGGGTCGATAACTCGCGGGATATTTGCTTCAGGCTCCTCCGCATTGTCCAACCCTCCATAAGAGACACGTTGCTACAGACTGTAAAATCTCGCAATCAGGTACACGGAATGACTGACAGAATCGTGCTTGGTTGCTAAACTCTAAGTGGAAGTTGCCAAGGTTTCTTACCACGGAATGATACTTAGTGCTAGCGCTATAGTCCTCGGTCAAGTCCCCCTTCTCAGTATCTCAACAAACATTCGGAAGTATCGGTTAAATCCACGATCCCTATTGCCCTGCCTGGTCACATTTACAAAGTCTCGTTCTAATTTGTCCTGTCAGCAGATGATTAAAACTGGGTCGCCAAGGACATAAGTCTGTTTTGATGAAATGGTAAGTGCTTCAAGGGACCAGGTATAGTCTCGTGTTTCATGGTACCCTAGTTGTCAGCAAGCTCATTACGGAAGCTCACATTGGAGATCTCGTATTTGAGTCTATTATATTCACTATGTCAAGTGGCAAGAATAAACTGTTGATGAGAGAAAGATCTTCACATAGCGGATATAAGTATAAATAGGTAGCATTCACTCTTCCTATCATCAACTGCGTACTCTACGGGCTCTATACTACGAAGCTCCGAGACTATAAATTGCACCTCTTAAGCTTTTACACTCTATTGCTACATAAATTTCCAAACTTTTCGCACGGTTTCGAGAAGCGCTTCAATACTGCAATATGCGTTGGATCGTGCTCTTCGGTAATCTGCTGACAATAGCGAGCGCTCACCCGTTCGAATTTGTCAGTAGAGACACCCCCCAAAACGAGCCATACGTTGTTGAAAAGTTCCTGGTAACGACCAAGGATGATGCCCAGGCAGTACGCGATTATTGGACACCTGAGCGTCTCGCCTCGATTGACCATGATCCAATTTCAACCAACACAACACCAGTTCCTGAGAATGAAAAATATCGTGGCGCCGAGTTCAACGGAAAAGGTGATATTCCGCGTACTGTCGGGCGACTATTATACACAGAACTGATAGAGGGGTCCGGCTGGCAAGATTCCTCTTGCACGGCGACTCTTGTACGAAGCGAAAATAAGGCTACAATTGTTACAGCAGCACATTGTCTGAAAACAAATCTCATGACTCAGAACCATACGGAGTGGAATAAGAATATTCTGTTCCTCCCTGGTTTCCGAGATGACCTGCCCCAGGTCAACTTCACCATAAATCGGGCGTACGTCGAGAGTAGCTGGGTCTATGAAGGCTTGAATTACTTCAATGATCGAGCTTTCGCAGTTCTGAACTCGGATTTCGACTCCGGAAAAGCTGCAGGGCTGGTAATCGGTGCTGCCCAAGATATTCAGTTCGGCACTGAGCCACCATACGGGACTCTGTACAACCTTGGCTACCCTCGATATTCACACGACAAGGAGGAGTTTCGTTATGGCTCACCGGCCTTTACGGGACGCCGACTAGCAGCCTGTTATGGTGAGGCCGAAGTCTGGTGGAGATTCCCTTCCGATCTTGTAGGATTTCCCTGCCATATGAGTGGTGGATCTAGTGGTGGTCCTCATCTCGCCAATTTCGACATGGAACGAGGTGTTGGTACAGTGGTTGCAGTTAATAGTATCGGCGATTGGAATGCTCCTCCACCAGAACAAGTATTGTATGAGTACGGCATGTCGGTCACTACCAGTTTTTCGAAGCTTCTGTATGAAGCTGCACAGGGAGTCAAGCTATAGTTTGCCTAGGGCTAAGGTTGTTATAAGCTATGTATAATCTAGTACGATCTTAGTACTAGTTGTCAAATAATTTTATTTTTGACTGATTATCTGTGTATCATATTATTGCTCTCTTTCTTTAACCTTGAGAGGAATGTTGGGATGTAGTGAGAAGGAAGAGTGAGCCTTGCAATGCTTTTCTCGTGCTCTTGGTGTTACACCTACTAATAAAGTGGCTTAATAATGAGATCAGTTAAACGAGATGCACAATATGAGCTCAAGGGCGCTTGTGTCACCATTCATTCATGAAGAATCTTTATATCACATATGCCCTAGAGGAGCTGTCCCAAGCAGCAGGACAAAATTCCCAAGTTGTTCTGAGAATAGCAGGCGACTATTAAAGTTACCGGATTTATGTTTGTCCAAAGTTGGGAAAACAGTACGTTTGAAGGCCTGAGAAACCTATTAGGCCTTCTATCAGCATAAAGGGGGACTGTCCTTCCTTCCCTTACATGCCTAGATCCACGCTTTGTTGTAGTCTCTCGTCAACCTTGGACGTGCCATCTAATGAACCTTTGTTAAGTTTTGCACAAATAATCCGGTTTTGTCCTTTTCTTTGTTGGGGGATAATGTAGCTTGAATGGACAACTGTTATACCCTGTATATTCCATTGTTATGGCTCCAAGACAGTTCAAGGTTGTACAAAGAGTCAACTGACTAATCAAGCAGCCTGTGACAACGTTTAAGCCATGCTATGCCCAACCCTTCAACGTTCTGACAAACATATCGTATACAACCAGTGACAGAATATAAGCACTCATCGATATAAATTGCTTGAGCTGACTGTTTGGACCAATACAAGGCATTTTCAGGTGCAATCAAACAATATGGGTCGGAGAATCATGGACGAAGACGCGATGGCAGCTATGGAGGCGGACAGGGTGGCCCAGGCGGAGCTGAGCGAGTATCTTGAGCGTGAGAATGGTCCAAGTGGTGGACGAGGTCACTCAACCGTTGCTTATAGGAGGGAAGGAGATCTTTCTCAGGCCTACCCGCAAATTGAGGCACCCGATTTGAGGGTAGGAGATGCCATCACTACACAACCAGTGGCAAGCAGAGAGTGAGCCGCCCAGAAACCCCCAGACTGACTGAGCCCGAAAGAAGATTTTTCGGGCGTACTTGTGCTGACAAGATTCAAGTGGCAAGGATATCAAGGCTATAAACGCTGCCGAGCTTTGCAAGCGACTGCAAGGCATCCCCCCCTGATAGCGACGACCGCGACGTGTGTGCACCAAGACCCTCCGCACCCTTAGGGTCACCCACAGGGTCAGAGACACCGTTAGTTGCAATCACTGACGAGGAGGTGAGAAATTACCGTAAGGCGAGCGAGTACGGCGACTACCATCTTCTTGTTTCCGACGGCGCGCGGCCGGCTTACCCCGTCGAGAGAGTCGAAGAAGTACAGCAAAACTCATACGAATACTTCGATTTGCTATACAGGTGGAGCCATATTGAGTCATTTGATACGAGTCCCTGCCAATGGGATGTGTTTCAAAGACAATTAGTGCGCTGGGAGCATTTTCGCGCCTGGCAGATGAGACAGCGCGACAAGATTGATGAGCTCTCGCTTGAGAAATTCATCGAGAAAAGAAGGACCGACTCCAAGCGCATGGCTGATCATATACCCGAATATAGGATGGGTCCGGTAACCCCAAGTAGGCCCATTCGCAAACAAGTGTATAAAGCTTGGCGGTTAGATCAGCACCTACGACGGCGGGACCGGGAGTTTATTCGCCAGGGGGCTCACAAACCCGTTGGCTTTGTACAAAAGGTCGAGGCCATTAGACGCAGACTGTTGGAGTACGGGTTCGCCGGGCACATCGACTTCGACATTGACCCAAAGAAGCAGGGCCAGCTGGCGACGTGGGCTGAGTACGTCGACTTCGAACTGCGCTGGCTCTCTGCGTATGAGGCTGCAGTGGAACGAGCCGCACTGGAAGTTGAGAAAACGTGGCAGAAATACGATGACGAAGGCCAATTTTCTAAGGAAGAGACGGTACAAGTCTTGCAGTCCAAGTACTTCAAGATTGAACTCTCGGGACAGAAATATCAGAGACAAACGCACATGACAGCGGCCAGAGAGGCTGTGGCAAGGCTCCGCCAACAGATCGAAAGTGACTCGCCAGAAATCGCCGACACAAAGCTCGAAATGCTGCAGGCTGCCGAGAAGAGGTCTCAAAACGCAGACGAGCGTTATATGCAAGCTGTGAGAAAGAGCGCCGCTGCGTCTGAAATCGAGAATAAGAGGGGCCATCAGAAATATAAAGAACTCGTGGCTAAACAAAAGGCACTGGCCCAATGGTGTTGGGACCAATTGCTATTGATCGACGCCGAAAACAAAACTCACCGACGAGACAGACCCCGTGGCATCTGGGGAGCGAAAGACGAGAGTTTTCAAATTCAGCGAAGTACACTCGAGTGAGACTACAACAGCTTTGCAGGATACACCAGCTCGTCAGAGGAGCACAGGCACTCTAGCTATGGTGAAGGGTGTGGGTTCAAGCCCTAGAAGACAGAGAAGCCGGGCTCCCGCTGTAAACGATTCGGCTACACATTGGGATTACAAGGTTAATAGCAGTGTTCCAATCCCTTCGACAATTCGACAGTCCAAGACAGGGACTGCTGCATTCCAGGAGGCAACGATCGCCCAAAATGGCACGGGCCCTTTCACGGGAATTATGCCTCTTGACATACGTTCCACGATCTGTGGACTGAAGCATTCAGATGCTCCCCAAGTGCCTCAACATGACCTCATTTCGGGGGAAGAGAAGGCTCAGGAAGCTCGAACAGTGACAGCGAAGACAACTAACAAGCGAAAGCGGGCACGAACTGTTGAGGAGATGGAAGCATCGAATGAGCGTTTAGAATCTCTCCGGAGAAGACCTCATGTAGATTATTCCGCGTAGTATTAGATTGCCCATTCGGTCAAAAATTAGATTCATTGGCGATGTCGGACAAGATTGAACTTTTCTACTGACTGTTTACCACTCTGGTAATAGCCTAGGATAATTGAGTAACACAAATAGAGGTATAAGTAATTCATTGCGTTGAGATATTGGGTCTGGCATCTTCCATTACTGTTTGACTTTTTATTCAAATTCTCTTAGGTATAATACCTTAGATTACGTCCTTATCACCAAATCTTTTTGAATCTAGATTCTACATAACTAAAATTCCGCCTAACCTTCTTTGGCTAAGATATCATATGCTCTTTTTCCGGGTTTATCATGTAATGAGTCAATCCACATAACTTCCTTTAGGCCGCAGCGGATCTCCTCCCATGGACGCTTATGCACGGCTGTTTCTATCCACAACGCAGGTACTTGGAGGGTGTCTCGGCTCTCAGTAAATATAATTCGGACAATTATGATCCAGATACTAATCTTCTCATGGGTTTGAGCGGTCCAAGCTTTATCAGAAGACAATGAGAGTTGGAGTTTTTCGAATGTACCCCTATATGCGCGTTGTACTCCGAGACCGGGAATTCGAAAGGTTGTCGCCAAGAAGGCCATCATGCCCAAACGAAGAGTTTCAGAGAATCCGTCTGTAAGACACCCATCAAGTTCCAAAAGCTGGGAGTGCACAAACCCCAAACACTGCTGTGCAAATCTACCCTCGATCCGCTCGTTGCTGTAGAAATGCTCATTGAATAACAGCGTTGTCTTTTGAAGTGTGCGGAATACAAGCTCCAATCTCGAGTCTACAAGGCCGTTGACGGACACCTTCTCATGTGGGTAGTTCATGTCGGTGAGCTGGGTTGTAAATATGGGCTCTTTCCATATGGAGCTATCATAGAGTGATGTCCATTGTTGGGTTACAAGAGCGCTGGAAAAGTTAAGGCTGTGAAAGGTTAGTACCCTACGGCCATTATTGCAGTCCCTAACCGACATGTGAGACTTACCGATCGAGTGAGAACTGGACCATGGGGTTGTGATCTAAAGCTCTGAAGCCGCCACGGAGGTGAATAATCTGTCTCAACCCCACTGCATGCGCTGCCATGGCTGTCTGGTCGCCAAAGAGAACAGCTATTGAGACCATGATCCCAACGGCAAACAAGATCAGGTCGGTTTGATGAGAGGCAGCGTCGGAAAGCCTGGAGTGCAATATGGGTAAGAGCAGCCGGAGGTGGGTGAGTGTACCACCTGATAGCGGACGCTGGATTATCAAGTCTTCACAAGCTGAGGTGAGTAGCAATGTGGCTCGGAAGCAAAGCATATCGCCGGTAAGCGCTCGAAAGCACTGGAATGGATCCTGCCCAAAGTCGATGAACAAATTGAAAAGCTCAAACGGACAGATAGGATCCCTGATAGGATTGCGAACAAAGTCTGCCAATTGAATCGTTCTTAGTTAGTCTAGCCATCGCATTGCGGCAACATATTCCACTGACATTTGTGCATCAATTCCTGGGACACAGCATCCAACTCCCCGGGAAACCGGAAGAGGGCCCAGTTAGACGGTGGTGGCGGCGGCACGGCTAGTTGTTGCGCATTCTGATTGCAAGTCCCCCCTGGCCATTCTGGGCGCCGCCGAGCCTGACTCACGGTATCCGTTGTCGGCCGTGGAAGGATCTCTCTGTATCTATCATACCCAGGCTTGTCTTTCTTGGCTCGTCTTGTCTTGCGAGCCGCTTGCTGAGCCCGACGGGAATTTGGTTGCTTGTTTCTTCCCTTCATGCAGTGATGGCGGATGAGTTTCCGCAAAGGAGACTCAATCATAGCGGAGCCGTCGGTTGGCACAAAAGTGAATTGAGCCGGCATATCGAACCTCACAGAGAAACAGCTACTGTCGACAGCTTAAGAGGGATAATGATACGACGAACTTGCATTGGAATAAATTACAGCGTAGGTCTCGAGGTTGACAGACGACAGGTAATCAGATGAGATTAGACCCCACTGCAAAGCGAAACCATACACTGTGTGGATGATTGTACTGGTCAGTGATTGGAGCAATTAAACCAGACTGCTACCCAAATTGGGAAAATACTGGGGTTTTCAAGACTACGTGTGCCAAGTGCAGGGATATAACACTGTCTAAACTCGGCATGGAGAGACTCAGACCCTGTTCCCAACTCTGCTTTATACGAAATCCATGCTGCTTACGGCGTCGGTGATATTTCTGTTTCTTTTAAAGAGCTAGGCAGAGAACCCCGAGTCTGTGTTCAGTTTATTTCTTTTCTCATTTTTTCCTTTCATTTTCTGTCTTTCCCTTTGCCTGCGAGGACTTTCAATCAGACATTACGATAACACCGTGCTTCAGCTATAGAGCGGCCCTTGCTAAGATGGGTTCCATTTCCTTGCCCTCTCCACAAACCACCTTTCTCCAAACTCTACTCAGGCACCAGCTTCTACCTTCGGCTAAACCGTCGCTAGACTCAATATCTCTCATCGGGAGGACAGCAGTTATAACTGGTGGGAGCACAGGCATCGGTTTAGCATGTGCAAAACTTTTACTCTCGCTACAGCTTCCGCACCTCATCATCGCTGCCAGGTCCTCTGAAAAAGGTACAAAGGCCGCGTCCGATTTGGGCGAGCTCTATCCGAAGGCCGAGGTTGAGTTTTGGTGTCTTGATCTAAACTCATACGAATCAGTTCGGCTGTTCGCTCGCAAATGCGCGTCCCTAAGCTCTCTCGACATAGCCATCCTGAATGCCGGTATCATGAAGAACCAATTTCACGCCAATGTGTCTACCGGACATGAAGAAACATTCCAGGTCAACTACTTATCGACCGCTCTTCTAGCGATATTGCTCATCCCAGTCTTGAAATCGAACTCCCGTCACGGTCCAGGCAGACTCACGATTGTTTCCTCCGTGGCGGCCGTCACAACGGACTTTCCTGAGAAAGACTTTGTGCCTATCATCCCAAGGTTTGACAGGCAGGACAACTGGAGCTCCGCTGTCGCTAAGCAGAGATACGATGTAACGAAACTGCTTCTGTTAATGCTTTTGTTTAAGTTGAGCTGCGTAGTGAAGGCAGAAGATGTCATAATCAACGCTGTGGATCCGGGTTTTACGTTGGGAACAAACCTGTTTTGTGACATTCCTTTAGCATTGAAGGTTTCTATGTGGCCATTAGCGAAGCTTATGGCTACTTCACCGGAAAAGGGCGCTTGGACCTATGTCGACGCATGCATTCTTAGAGGTGCTGAAAGCCACGGAAGCTTCCTAAGCGATTGGCAAGTTAATGCGTACGTCTCAAACTCCAAAATGAATCGTGCAATAATGCCGGTTTCAAGTGCTGACCATACTAGTTTCCATCCCATTATGTACACGCCCGAAGGCGAGTCAGTTATGGACCGGCTCTGGGAAGAGACCATCAACGAACTAAAATGTGATGAGGTATGCACTGTCCTGGGTTCTAGATAAAAAGTTGTTATAGTTCGAGAAGTCAGGGTAGTTCTAAAGAAAGTGTGATCGCGACTTCTAATAGTAATAGAAGTACCAAGAGAACCGCACATGTTGATAGAGTATGAAATTAGTGATGATATAAGTATACTTATAGTCGCTAGAGTAAGAAGATGTATGCTTTGGAATACCTTAACCTATAAACCAAAACAATAGTAATACGAGATACTTGATTCAATCTCATAATATTTTAAATGAGCTGCGGCCTACGGTCTTCATGTTCCGTGGTAAGAGCCCCTTATCTAAAGCTGTTAATGCTCAGGATTGAGCCCTTATCCTAACACGAGGAAAAAGCCTAAATCCATTCATGCCCACCTGTTCACTATCACCATCTTTCTTGGCAATCATTCTGACAGCCGCCTTGTTCTCCTCCATTGTTCTCTCGGTTGAGCAAGGAACACCACAGTCAGCACCGTACACAACATGTTCAATTCCTACCATTCTCACGGCAGGTTCCATGCCTGTCTCAGCTGATGCAGCTGTATCCACATAAATGCTACTAATCTGCTTCTTGATATCGTCCGTCGTGATGCCTTTATGATTGGGAACCCATGACTCTGTCCCAAGAAGCAGCACTCGCCCGGATAATGCAGGAAAGGCACCTGCACAATGAGAGAACACCCATTTAATTTCGGGGAAATCCAGAAAGACACGATTATATATCATGTCCGTTATAGTTCGGGCTGTATCAAACGCAACGTCGATCAATGGGGACGGTCGACCATCCTGTCCTCTGAGATAGGCGTTTGGGTGAACGAAGATTACTTCGCCGCGCTTGTTCAGCTCCGCCCAGACAGACCGCAGGCTTTCATGGCCCAAGCCAATGCCGCCACGCATGGTGGTGACAGCAAAACCATCAGGTTGCAGAAGCTGGGTTCTCATTCTCTCGATTTCCTTCAACGCTTCGCCGGGCTCATCAGTTGGGAGCGCGGCCAGCAGCCCGAACCTCGAGGGGTACTTTTGCACTATCGATAGTCCAAAGTCATTCGCCTGTTGCAATTTGCGTGTTGTGAGCGGGATATAAGACAGCATCTGCATGCTGATTCCTGCCGCATCATTGTATGCTAGCATTTCGTCTGGTCGAAATTGGGGGGCTTCTGAAATCATGAAATGAGCGGCATGGGAAGCTTTGACAAATTCAGCGTCTTCAACTGCCGTCCGTGGAAGGAAGAAGTGACCATGAATATCAAGCCATCCGGGTGCCATGGTGTACGGCCGTGCTCGCTTAAGGGACGCGTTGTATCACGAACCAAATACGATGGGATGTAATCAATCCCATCGACGGGACGGGAACTGTCTTGAACCATTTAATAGTATGACCAGCGAGTCTAGTGACAAGGGCGAGAGACAACGCAGTTATATCTTACATCGGCGTTAGGGAAGCTTAATTCCGCAGGTGCAGCTAGTAAAGCTCCCCAATCGACTTCGAGCGTGATATTAATGAGGTGGACAGCATGCTGTATTTCGAGGATTTAACCTACCTCCACTGTAGGATTAATCTATGGTTGCACAGCTATATGTCGAGGACGGACTTAATCGGGTTTACCATTCCCAACTCGAGATGGAGAATTCTAGAGCTAAGTAACATGGGTCAGGTAGACATATCAGTGCATCTATTCTTAGGTAAAAGTAATCAATATGCTACCGCGGCATCTTTTTGGCCCATAAGGTGTGGGTTGCCCCATGACCTGCGTGAAATTACGACCTGCTATGTCAGCTGCTTAGGTAGACATACTATCATTTCACTCTAGCACACACAACTAACAACTTTTCTTCTCCTTCGCAATGAGGCAAATTCTTGTACGCCGTATCGGGGGTCCGGAAGTTCTCGAACTATCCAACATTGCCCAGATACCTTCGCCAGCAAACAACCAGGTATTGATAAAGAATAGCTATGCTGGAGTCAACTTTATCGACACTTATTTTAGGAAGGGCTCTCTCCCTTGCCAACTTCCAACATGCCTTGGAATGGAAGCAGCCGGGACAGTTGTGGCCATAAATGGAGAGAACAAAACGAATCTTTCTGTTGGTGACTTGGTCGTCTGGAAAGGTCAAGGTGAATGGAAAATATCCTCTGTAATATGAGCCGCTTTAACATCGTACAGGAGCCTACGCCGAGTACAGTACAGCAGATATTGATAATGTAGTACGAATACCGCAAGGTATATCTGATCGTGATGCCGTTGGCGCATTCCTACCAGGCATGACAGCTCTGTCGCTCATCACCGAAGCATATCCAGTAAAGAATGGGGAGGCGGTATTGGTCCATGCCGCGGCAGGCAACGTTGGTCAGCTTTTGTGCCAGATGTACGTCCACGAAGCAATCAAATTACGACGAAGATTAATTGGTATCTATCTATAGGCTGCGAAACATCGGTGCTTTTGTTGTCGGCACTGCTGGGTCTCCTCAGAAGTGCGCAATGGCGAAAGAGTACGGAGCGCACGAGTGCATCGACTACAGCGAGAACAAACAATGGTTACAAGAAGCACTGGCTCTTACGAGTGGAGAGTGTTTTGACGTTGGTGAGGACTTCGAAATGTGCCACGACTTACTTCTATACTTACACGATGCAGTTTTTGATTCGGTCGGAGCGACAACTTGGGATTGTTCGCTGGCTATCACTAAGCGAAAAGGAAAAGTTGTTTCCTTTGGACATTCCTCCGGCCGAATACCACCATTTGATATAACACGTCTTCTAGAGAAGAACTTGTCCATCGCTCGCGTCGCACTCACACAATACATAACTACGCGCGATGAGCTCCTGCATTTCGCAAACATGCTGTTCGAGAGTATGCTGCAAGGAAAATTGAAGGTCAATTACCACGCGAAGGAATACGCATTGCAGGATATATCGCGCGCACATGAGGACCTCGAAACTCGTCAAACAAGTGGACGAGTATTAGTTAAGATGTAACTTAATGCCTTTCGTGCCCTCATCTTGGTCAAAATATTCTTATGTAGTCCTGAATACTGAATCTGGTCCTCTTCGATTAAGACATTATCTTTTCTCATAACTGGACCGACAATGAAAATTCCCTTAGCTTGGAAGTCCATGTCGTAAGACACACCAATCGCCAAGATTTCCTCGTAATCCGCAATAGCCGCGGTTCTTTGAGAGCCAGGGTGGTTCGGATCCTGTATGGATGGACCTTGTATGTACTCCGCATCATGTTTCATGGCCCCCTTGTCAGTTTGCTTACTACTGCTAACTTCATGTAGTTAGCAGACACTCGGATTTGGTTGCAATCGGGACTCTGGGTCATTTCAGGGGTCTCTAGACGGGGTCGGAGATATCGACGTGGCGTCAAAGCGATGACAACGAGAGATGATTGCTACTCTGACAAAATCCTACTCATAGCATTGTAGATTTTGCCCTCCACTCGCCGTGCGAGTGACCGCGAACGTGACCAAGCGCTAGTTGGCCTTATCTCACTTCACAATACTCGTAAAACAACTACAATGGCCACAATTTTCAATATTGTCCCTGATCCAGCACGCACCGGGAACCACACAGACTGGACATCGAGAGAGTGTCCAAATACGACTGAGATGAGGAGCGAGGTAGATGATTGGACAAGCCAGAATGATGTTGCTGAGCGGCGAAAGACACAAAATCGTCTGCACCAGAGAGCATGGCGTACGTAGTCCCCGCAAATGTGCAGTTGGCTTAAAACGGCCGCATGACTGCAAAACAAGAGCGAGACTGACTACCGTCCAGGGCGGAAACAAAAGCTGCGATGGCAGCAAGAGACATCAAGGCGTTCTTATGATGGACCGGGAATCTTTATATTTCGCGTTAGCCCGGAAAGAGGGGAGGAATCGTCAACCAGAACAAAGGCCATCGCTTCTGACGATACAAAGACTCTACCTGAATGCCTCTCGCTCTATGCCGAGCCACACAAAACAGCTCGTGCGATAGCTCTGTATCAGAGCGCCTGCGAGAGTTACTCCCTCAGAGCGCCACGCCCAGCTCATCTTCCAGCCTTGATCCGGCTGAACCTCCTTCACGCCATAACCAGAAACTCATATTACATCGGCATCCCCCCTGGCCGGCTTTGTCGTGATGAGTTTATATCACCCTTCAATATCGCAGGGCCAGTGGGACAGCACAACCCTATACGCACTATTTGTCCCATGTCGCTATGGCCCACAGCAACACAACACAGAATTCTACATCATCCTTGGATCGACTTACTGCCGTTTCCTCAGATACGAGATAACATCTTGCTGGGTATGGAAGCAGGAACTGTAGATGACGACGAGCTGTCAGAAGACTTGATGGAATTCGGCAGTGGCGACGCAGACTTGGTAGAACGGCCAGCGATGATTGTGTGGGGGCAGTCAGCAGTTTGCAGCTCGTGGGAGATCAACGTAGCATTCTTGAACAAATGGGGTCATCTAATACGCGGATGTCCAGAAATTATCGCCTCAACTAATGCCTGGAGGTCGAAGAGAGGCGAGAAACCTTTGATGGTATGATTACACGCTGGCCACTGAAGGTATATAGGATTTACTATACATCAATACCGAATCCAGCTGGTCGTTTGATGTAATTGATACACATTCCTTAAATACTCATCGCCAACTTGGTCCGCGTCATCGTGGTTACCTGCCAAACCTCAGCAACCCATAAGTAATCTATAACTTAAAAACATTCTTTACGCCTCTCTCATGCTGTTTGAATGGCAGTTTCACAAATTTAGTGTTTTTATCAGTTTGGTAGGTTATTGGCTTATTGAATTTTGAAGAGGTAGGTACAACGAATAAACTTGCTTGCAGAAGAGCTCTGCTACCATGCAATAAACCAACAACAACCGGACTAGTGATTGATGTATACTTACTCACTCTCCAGCAAATCTGCCGTCGCTTTGTGACTTATCACGAAAGTCGGCAGAATAGGAAAGCCTCCTGGAACCCGTGGGAAGACTGATGCATCCACTACTCGTAGGTTGTCAACCCCCTGGACCCTGAACTTGGAGTCAACGCAGGTCGAGGGCTCACCGGCGGGGCCCATGGGACAGCTACAAGAGGCGTGGTGGCTCCAAGACTCGTACTTGATGCGCTCGCGTACCTCGTTATCATCCTTGCTTGGCGGCTCGGTCACGGTGACGGGCGCGTATGGCTCGTTCAAGGCGTCATAAATATCCCGCGTTAGCTGCACGGCTTCTCCAATGGCCTGTAGGTCGTGTTCTTCTCCCTCTTTGAAGAAGTTGAAATTGATCTCTGGCGGATCTTGCGGGTCGTTGGAGCGCAGCGTGACAGTTCCGGCCTTGTTTTGCACTTGCATTTTGACAATGGACCACCACCAAGTGTTGGGCGGAGGGACCACCCGAGAGAACCCAGGAAAGAAGCCGCGAAGCAGGCCATAGCCTCCTCCAAAAAAGAACAAATCGGTGTCGTTGTTCTCGCTCACGGAGGATTTATAGAGAAGTCCGACTGGCGCCGCGCCAATGCCGTACGGTCCGCTCCCGTTCTTTTCCTGCCACTCCCGGAGGCATGGGTCGCCGGGGGCCAAGAAGGTACAGTTCTCCAAAGGGTTCAAAAAGCCCTTGGATGCGATGCCCTCAACGCCAGTTTCATAGTTGTCCTGCAGGTTGGTCCCGACTGCAGGAACATCTGCCACCACCGAGATATTGAACTTCTCCAACTCTTCCCGCGGACCGACTCCGCTAAGTTTCAGGATCTGTGGTGTGTTGAACGCCCCTCCAGCCACGATAACCTCCTTCCTAGCGTACGCCTCTGCTTTGACCCCCCGTTGCGTTCCGTCGTAGCGCGGGTCGGCTTTGTAGAGTCCTTGACCGGAGAGATATTCAACACCAATAGCGCGAGGCCTTGTGGCGGACCTGTCGAACAAAACCTTCGAAGCCAGAGAGCTTGTGAAGATTGTCAGGGGATATCGAGAGGTGCCATCTTCGTTGAGGTCATTGACCGTATCACGGAGGTACGTTTGGGAACTGCTCCTCCTTCTGTTGGCATCGACATGGAGCGGGATATTGTAAAGCCCATTGGCCTCATAACGCTTGGGATCCAAACGATTCATATCCCGATTAAGTAGATTCAAGATATCGGCAGAGTTGGTCGTGTTGGAATCTCCAATTATCCGCATTCCGGCATGGACAATATCCATGTAGCCGTCATCCCTGGCAAAGAGGTCCAGTTCGTTTTGGTGTGACTGCTCTTTATTAGTATCAGCCAATCATGAATGAACCAAAGACTTACCCCTAGCCAGCCAGAGAAGCCGTGTCCTTCAGATCCCTCAGGAAGGTAGTTGCACTTCTCTGCCTCCTCAAAATACTTTCTCATGTTAGGAGCATTCCATGAACTATCCCCTGTGAGGTTCGCAATGTAGTCCCAGTCATTGTCTGGTGGAAGAACAAGTAACATAGCATTGTGGTTGCCACAACCACCCAACGTACCACTCCGTGGGTACAGAATCCCGAGGGGTTCCGATCCATCCGGCGGATTGGGACCAACGTGGTATTCACCAGTTGGGGTCTTCCAGGTAAACTTGTTATCTTTCTGGGCTTCCTCCGGGTCGTCGAAATGCTGCACGAAAAAATCCCATGACATGGTTGGATTCTCAGCGACAGCGTTTGAGCTGCTCAGCGTTAGCCATCCCTTGGTCACGTCACGCAGATAGCTCTATGGATACTCACAAGGGAGGCACTTGCTGCAGGGGACTTGCACCATTGTCCTCACCTGCCTCCAAAACCAAGACCGAATGTCCCTTGCGGGCGAGATTCGCACTATTATTTATATCAGAAGACTCCTTGCATAGCATATCATATAAATCTTCTTACGCTAAAGGGCCTCCTCCGGGCCCAGATCCAATAACAACATAGTCATATGTGCTATCGCTGGTTTGCTCGCTGAAAGCTAAAGTGCTGAGAGCTAGGATATTGAGGATTCTTGAAGATACCATTGTAAGGAAATCTCGATCACAGATTAAAGAGTTGCTTGATTAGGGATTTAGAACCAGTTGATTTCAGGGCGCTCCAAAGTGTTTATATAACATTTCTCGCACTTCACGAGTCTTCATTACTCCTGCTCAGTAACCTCGGCTTTAAGCCCATAATCAAATACTATGAAGCGGACTTAGCGGATTTTATGAAACCTTTTTCTAATGATTGCATATTGAGCATTCGAGTCTTCCGAATTTAATCGCTTGGAAGGCTGTTCTCGCAGATTATCCCCTTGTATAATCCTAGAGCAACCCTTATGCCTCTAACCTATTGAGTGTTAAAATTAATCCCTGATTACGGCTTATGGACACTAACCGTTTGAGGAATCGTTTTCCAGCATCTCACACGTGAAAATTGGTTTTCTGCGTTCCGAGCATCACTACGATGATGACCATGGGCCAGAGTCGGCCTGGCACCCAGCCTCTGAGCTTGTCGAGTTTAGGGACGGTTCGACGACCTGGACGATCTTGTCGATCTTGGCCTGGCGGCTATGCCCATGGATCCGCAGTGGGATTACTGAGCCGCCAAAGCCGTGGGCACGAGTGGGTAGGAAATACCCTGTAGATTCCCACACACATTCTCCGCGATCTCTCTTAGACTCTACCCATTGTAATTCTGATGTTATCGAATACTGATGATATATTATTTAAATTAAATTAAATTGAATTGAATTGAATTATTAAAAACTTTGTAAATTTTATTCGATATACGAATGGCCATTAACTCTAAAATAATAAGAAAATAATATCATCTTATTATTTGTAATGTAAGTGGTTCGTGCTAAAATAAAACACATGGATGGAGAAATCCATATATGAATCGAAATGAAGGAAAGGAGCCTTATTGGACGTCTAACATAGCAAGTAGCAAGAAGTATTGAGGCGAGAAAAAGGATAATACCAATCGGGCAGCAGCCTTCGAGTCAAGTTCATATGCTTGCTTAACTCAACACATCCTTTTGCAGATTACACTTGAATAATTCGGTCACCCGCTACTCAAGATCCTAAGAATTCCCCTATCAAGTCCATGAACTTTCGCCTTTGTTCAAAATGTGGAAAATGGGTTGAGCCTTCGAATTTGACATGCATGCAGCCATCTATCTGCTTGAAAATCCTGATGGACTCTTCGTGGTCGCTCCCTTCGTTAACGCCAGTGACCACCAGCGTCTTTGCTGTTATCTTCTGGATGTCATTGACCGCTGTAAAGTTGGCAAGGCTGCCCGTCATTTCGAATTCGTCGGGACCGAGTCTACCATCAAAAGAGAGCGACATGATCGTTAATACAGCCTGCTTTTCTGTTCTGAATAAAAACAAAGTAGTTTTATCTCAAGAATTGGGAAATTATGACTTACGCGCTCAATGAGGCAGTGGGGTCTTCTTCAATTTCCTTCCAACTTCTCTTCAGTTCCACAGGCACATCATCTAAATTGATAAAATGTCGTTTGTAAAAAACCATTAAAGCCTCCTGATACTTAGGCTCGGTAGGTTTGAGCTCCTTAAGAATAGTACGGTAGGGTTCCGGCATAAGTTCTCGATAGTCATAATATTTTTCCTTCCAGTATATACTAGCGACTGGAGCATTGGCGACTACAAGTCTCCTAAGGCCTTGTGGTTGTCTAGCCGCATGTATTGTAGCCAACATCCCACCCCATGAGTGACCAAGCAAGTCATAGTTGTGCTGGATGCCCAGGTAGTTCATCACCGCTGTTACCTGGTGGAGAAAGAACTCTTCGGACCAGAAGTCGTGGTCGAGAAGTCGATGGCGTAGATGCGTCGATTTTCCTGATCCTAGCTGATCGAAGAATATCACAGTGAGATTGTATGGTGCTTTGCATAAATCCTGGAGAGGGAGCATGTAGTCGTGGGTGTATCCTGGTCCGCCGTGTAAAGCTAGCAAAGGCCTCGATGCGCCGGCTGTTGGCCAAGGGCCGCTAATGTTGTACCAGATGGAACAAGGGGAGGGTAAAGAGACATGTTTAAAATCCATGTATCCTTCTTTTGGGATCATATTTACTCATGTGGAACGAAGACCTTTGGCCTCGGTGGCCCCAGCGATAAGCATTTTATCGAAATGAACAAATCTGGCCGGGGCACGGAGTTTCATGTTTCACACGGACCGTCCGGCTTCCGGGGCGGACCGGACCCGGATGTCCTGATTGGTGCTACTAGCGGTTCTCGATCCGCTCATGTGACTACCCCAGAACTCGAAACTGAAGATAAGAAATCACTATAACCCCGCGAAGGCTGGCCCTTCCTTCTTGGAATGGGGCCTTGTGATTCTTGTGACCTTTCTTGACAATATTCTTTGGAGACCTACCTATGCCATGATGGAGCATAGACTTCAAGCCGACCAAAAGAGCATCACGGGCTCAAGCAAGACCGTGAAGGCTGTTACTGATGCGGACCTTGAGCGACCCGGAACCCCAGGCGGCGCCAGCTTTGCCGATGGAAAGATGGAGGTGACTCATCAGTTTAATGTAGGTTAAAGGATACCAAAAACAAAATCAAGACAGGATGCCTTGATTAGTCTGCTTCATGATGCTGATGCCATTGGAAAATCACCTCAGTCCGGTACCGAAATGAAGAAGCAATTCAGCAGCATCGCCACCCTAGGCTTGGCCTTTTCGATTCTTAATTCGTGGGTCGGCGCGGCTGGAAGCCTTCTGGGGCCAATATCTCTTGGCGGTTCCGTCACCGCGATATGGGGGTGCTTAGCCGGGGCAATCTTTACTACGATCCTATGCATGGGTGTGATTGAGATGGCATCCGCCATGCCCGGTGCCGGAGGCCCTTACCATTACACGTTTGTTCTGGCTTGGGAGCACAATCGGAAGTTTCTCGTATGCACTGATTCTTTCGATTTACCTTGGTGAGACCAAATCATCCCATCTGACCTTGCTATCTTAGAGCTTCTTCGTTGGCTGGTGCAATATGATTGCGTGGTGGTTTGTGGTTAGGTAACTATTTTCTCTATGGTCTAGTTATATTCCAAACTGCTGATAAAATCTGTTGTCTAGTTCTGGGCTGCTGTTTATGGCCACCTTCTTCACAGGAATGGCGGTACTCTACCACCCTAACTATGTTCGTACAATCTCTTTAAACGTCTCTACACAAGTCTCGTCGTGACTGATTGACCAAATCATAGACACCGACGACATGGCACATATATCTCATATTCGTACTTATTCTCTCGGTGGGCACCACAGTCGTCATCGGGGCCAATCACATCATGTCACGCCTGTCAGCCATATCATGTCAGTAAGCTCAGGACTAAAATTTGGTGCTCAAATTTATTAACTGATGGGGAAGTATACTGTTGCCTACTGGTGTTCCTCACCTGTATCGTAGTCCCCGTTGCCATGCACGCTGGTCTGCCATATCAAACTCCTTCGTTTGTATTTACAAATTTCTCCAATTTATCAGGCTGGCCAAGTGATGGAATGGCATTCGTTATCGGGTGCATGCTTTCCTGCTACAATGTAAGTTAAGAGATGCAAACCGACTTGTGGGAGTAAAACTATGTTCGTTTCCATCGCCTCTAATATATTCGATAGTTTATCGGAATCGATGCTACAACTCATCTCTCGGTAAATTACAAAGCGAGACCTAGTTTTGAGTTCCGACTAATTTCACTCTAGGAGGAGATGCCGAATCCAGCATTGAAAGTGCCCCAAGCCATGGCAGGGGCCCTTGCCACTGGATGCTTTACCTCGTTTGGTTTTCTCATTGCGTTACTCTTTTGCGTCACTGATATGGACGAGGTTCGATTTGCGGTTGCATTTTAGGCCTAGATTTCAGCCTTCTAACACTCACCAGGTTATTACCACGCCTACTGGCGTTCCAATCCTAGCTATCTTCTATCAATCCACCAATAGCAAGGCTGTGAGCGTCACGTTGCTAAGTCTTATCATCTTTTGCCTCGTCTTTTCTGTTGTCAGGTCAGTCCCGAGTCATTATTGGAAAGCCTAAGTATATGCTGATTGTACAAGCGGAATTCTTATTTGTGGTCGGACAACGTGGGCTTTTGCACGAGACAATGGATTGCCCTTTTCGCAATACTTCAGCCAAGTAGACGAAAAGACAGGCATGCCACTCCGAGCCACCTTACTTTCTTCAATTCTTTGTATGATATATGGCTGTATCTACGTTGGATCTACTGTCGCTTTCCAGTCCATAGTAGGGTCGGCTATCATTATGCTCTTCGCGACCTATGGTTCGTATATACGCTCTTGCTATCTTTTCATTGTTGAAGTAAATTACCAACTAATACATGTCCAGTTATACCCCAAGGGATTCTAGCCATCCGGGGTAGACATCACTTGCCAGCCCGGCCATTCAATCTTGGAAGGCTTGGCTTATTTTTTAACATTTCTGCGCCGATTTTGTTTGTGATCCTTACTGTCTTTATTTGCTTTCCATATGCACTTCCAGTCACAGCTCAAAATATGAGTAAGTAGTATCCTCTAGCTATTATATCAAATGGACTTCCCAAGTGCTAATGAGCAATGTTCTTCAGACTACCTGAGCGTGATTGTCGTTGGCTGCTCGACACTTATTGTTTGCTTATGGTATGGAAGTAAGAAAGGAGTATACATTGGGCCGGTAAGATATTCTAAACTGCAGGCTTTCCAAATTATCGCTAACCTCATTTAGTACATTTAGTTTCTTGCATGATTGAAAACCGAGGGCGGGCCACTTATCCCTCGCATACCCCTCCTAAAACGGTACTTGTTCGAAAAGGTGGGTAATTGATCGCGATTGAAGCTCTATGGATAGATAGTATGTCCACGGTACTATATTATGACATGATTCCACTGCGATCAACAAGTTAGCAATTATCCCCTTTTCCCCTTTGTTGGACCTACCCGTCAACGCGGACTTCTGTGCCGCTGATATAAGTGGCCATGGGGGATGATAAGAACACAATAGTGTTTGCAACCTCCATGGGATCGCCGAATCGTTGCATTGGGGTTCTGTTCAGCCCATATTCCTTGATAGAATCTATCCCAGGCCCTCCGAGTTTCATGATTGGCGTCTCAATAAACCCAGGACATACGGCATTAATACGGATGCCACGCTTAGCATATTCATTTGCGTCCTGTGATGCATAAGCTCTTTCCTCATGCAGCAGAAGGGGAAGAGGTAATATTACTCACGCTCTTGGTAATTGATATAATCCCGTATTTTGCTTTGATATATTTAGCGGCTGCACGTTGTTTTGTAGGCGGTCCAGATCTGGAGTGTAAGAAACTTACAAGCACCATAGGCTGCCATTGGGGGTGAACGCGTTCCAGCTAAACCCCACATAGATGAAACATTGACAATGGTTCCAAGGTCCTGGGAGAATCTATGAGTGACATGTCAGTGTGCGTATAATGCTATGTCATTTGAAATAACCTACTCATGGCTCACGGGCTTTTGTTGCAACATGTGTCTAATCTGCTCGCGCTGTGCAGTCCAAATGCCGGTCAAGTTTACATCCAGCAGTTGCTGGAATTCGCCCGTGCTGATTTCAGTGGAGGGTCCTAGGGGCCCAGGATAACCGGCGTTATTAACAGCATGGCGCAATTGACCAAAGGCCGAGGTCGCCTTCTCTATCGCCTTAACTGTTGAGCTCTCAGAGCCAGCGTCATATGAAACCGGGAGAAATTCTGTGGTGGGGAATTCTTGGCGAAGATTAGATACAGTCGTCTTCAAGAGGGTTTCGTTTTTATCAAGCAATGCAATCATTGGGCTGCCGTGCCTGGCGAATGCTCTCGCTGTAGCACGCCCAATACCTAGACGAATATAATCTCAGTCTCACCACTCACAGAACGCCCTGCGAGTGAACTGACCTGACGCTGCCCCAGAAATAAGTGAAGAGCCAAGGAGAAGAGCTGCCGTCATTTTGAATTCAGTTGCTGTATTGGTCCCTTTCACGCTTTACCAAGGTTTCCTTCTAATTGCTAACTCAAGCTGCACCAAGCTTTTTTTATAGCTGCCATCGGACATTTAGATCATTCCGAAGACTTGCTTACTCGGCTTTAAGGCCTTCTATTAAGCTTACATGCATGCGGGCGGACGCGGACATTTTGTGGAAAAGGAGTCGCGGATTGTGGAGACTTGAACATCGGTGCGGGAGCGTCGATGCGGGGAGGCGGGCTTTTTATCATCGTCAGTGCGGGCGGATGCGGGTTGATGCGGGCTTTCTTGCAAGGATGACAGCTTATTGCAGAATCCTGGGAAACAGCCAATCATCAACTTCTGATGCTCAAAGCTCAGGGCGAGTTATGGATTGACGGATCCTCCGGTTCGCTCTTCCGCTCACTGCAACTCTCAGTCAGCGCGACAAGAGTTCGCCCAGTCGCCTACCAGAACAGCCTTGGTTACCTATTAGATGACGTTCACCACAGCAGAATATTAACAGGCCAGGCAAGGTGTCAGTATGTTCCTTATTCCCGACCCACCCTATAGCTTAGCAGTATGCGGTTCATCACAACGTGGACTTTTTCTCAAGCTCGCAGAATGACTCTTATTCCGTCTTTATGAAGTTTTTACGATAATGTCGGGTAATAAGGTTTATATATAGCATGAAATGGTTTCCTTGCATCTTTTGTGGTGTCGACCAAGTAATCTATCTGTGTCTACTAAGCTGAGATCGCTGAGACTATATCAGCCCAGCCTCTTTATAATAACGCTGCGCGCCTGGGTGCAAAGGAATACAAGATTGCGCCATCTTCTTCGGTTCAAGTGGGTATGTCAAAGGGCTTTTTTCTGGACGGAGGTGGTGATATTGACCCTCCAAACCAGCTCGCGTTTCAACCAAGCACCAGGTCAATAAGTGTGCAACATCCTCCGCAAGGTCGTCGCGAACTAAGACGATGAAATCAGAAAAGTCAAGGCATGGAAGTGGTTCTTTGAGAGAAGGCCAGAATCCTGCAGGCAAGGGCCCAGCATCCATCCGGGCAGCTCCGGGGTTGTTTTGCTGGAATCGGTCTAATGCCTCCTTCTCAGCTGCCAAAGGAATGAATCCCTTCTTCTCAATCACGCTTTCCCACCAAGGTGTCATTATTGCTTCTTGGAGTAGGGCATCTGCTTTTCCTTCCATGACCAAAGCCATGGCCTGTTCTGGGCGAGTCGCCGTCACGTATTCACCTCCCCACAACTTGAACTCTTCATCACTAATGCCGTGCGCTTTCAAGAGCTCACTTGCCACGTATCCGATGAAATTGGTGCCGTCGTTGGTGGACATGGCTATCTTCAACGGTGGCCTCTTCTTTCGCAGTTCGGCAAAAGAGTTGACGTTGTGCTCGGGACTCAGAGCAAGTACCATACGATCATTCTGGGGCAATACGCCCAGCGCGCGCAGGGACGGCATAGGTCCGCACCGTTCAAATATTCCTTGTCCCGTCAGCGCCGTCGACATGAGCTGAGCAGGCGTCGCGATGGACAAGTGAACCTGTCCCTCAAAGACTTTCGTAATAGCTTCAAGGCCACCGTCGCGTAAATTCCAAATCGCGACCTGGCTCCGCGGTCCAGCCCGATCACAAAATTGCTGCGCGAGCCAGGAACAAACACGGTGAAAATTGGCCATACCCCAGTCTCCTTGGAGGTGAAGCGTCACAGAACGCTCAAGGCGTGGGCCATATGCATTCTGGCGGTTCAATTCTCCCAAGTCGGTCGTTGCCATTGTTACCTTTATCTAGCTATTGTGAGTTATGGTGGGGAGAGGGCAGTTGAACCTGTTGGTAAGTACATGAAATTTATTATAGACGACCCAAATCGGCTCTCTACAGCTCCTTTTGCACATCCCGAATTTTTCGGGATGCCACAACCCGCATATCATCGCGGAAGCACAAAATCGGCGAGAAATCCGAATGTCCAGGATTTCGGGAGTGTCCTTTCCGACTGGACCACCAACTATTATACCCGCTCCTATGACACAAACCAAGCAAGTACAAGCAGGAAGTCTTTTTGCTTGGACTATGTCAGCTAGGTTGAAAACGCTTGCACATCCACATAACATTCTATGTGCCTTTCATGTTGACTCTTCGCTATTTTATGGACATATGTAGGTTTGCAGCCGTCTAAATATACATGTAAACAAGTTTCGCGAATAGACGTTTTTTACTGCATACTTCTTCAATTGATGCTAGATTTTTGGTCTTTGAGTTTGTTTGTTCTACTAGGTTTCATTTCATGTAGCGCCGCTGTCCTCCAACTAGATGGATGTTGACTGGGAACATGATATCTGTTGGAAATACTACGCAGTATTGACATAAAGCCCGCACACCTCAACTTCCCGTACCCATAATTGCCATGGTCTCTGAACCGTCCTCTTCGTCATATCTTCCGCGAGTGTAGCCTCCTCATTATTTAGAAGATGCAAGTCGCTCACAGATCCACCAGTGCCGTACAGAGATTGAAGCGTTGTAGCAGTGGTTTGAATCAGAGCGTTCTTCTGTGTGTATATCGCCCACATAACGGCCACTTCAATGCTGTCCGCAACCAAGGTGAACCCGTGGCCCCGCATGAGTGTGACACGGTTCGTCTCATCAAAGGTCCTAGCCAGGGCAGATCCAGTCTTTTCGGTTCGGACTAGCATGTCAGCCCCGAGAGCCGGGTCTCTGTGCTCGGCGATGTCGAAGACTGCGGCCCCCTTGACACCCAAGAACCCTGCCATGTGGTAGCAAGCCCTCAGTGGCGCATTGCTGATGGTATAGGGGACTACTGCTTCCGAGTGGCTGTGGACAATGGCATTGACATCCTTGTGTAATTTGTAGATCTCGGAATGGATTCGCCTTTCCTCATAGCCCTTGTACGGCGTGGAATCCAAAGGCTCAGCGTCGCTGACTCTGTAAGCGATCAAGTCTTTAGGCGAAGATATAGTCCCTGGAGCGGCAGAGAGAGACATTATAAAGACGTCATGCTGGCCAGGATGGCGGAATGAAAGATGGCCGAAGGCGTCCAAGACCCGACTATGATGTAAAATATGACAACCGTGGATGAACTTGCGACTATACGCTTGGAGAAGAAGCGGGTTAGATTCAGTTGCCGCCATAATGGAATTGAAGGATTTGGTCAAGGATCATAAGTAGATCATCTCCGCGGGTAGTTTGTTGATTTTATTATATGGTCTAGAGATGAAGCATTTCATAATGAGCTGCCTGGCTTCAAATCCGGGTGACATGATCCGAAAACAGCCCACTCTTTGTGGATCTGGCGGACATTGAATAAGTCAACGTGATCTTTTAACTAAAAGCCGGAACAGAGCCTCTCGGCACCGCAAAGCGGACAAAAGGGCTGTCCCAAGTGCGGACAATGACATCGAGCACTTTCAAGGTGCAGGGCAAAAACTGATTTGATTCATGGGAGTGCACGGCTGAGTTCCGTCATTCTATCTTTCTGATCAAGACTGTTTAAGACCAGGCGTCTAGTTATTCTGCTGTAGCCATTCTCGGAACCACAAGGAGGCTGCGTTCTTGGCCCTTTCCATGCCCTTTCTCTCCCCCTCGTTCCGAGTATCACCTCTGATGGCAAATCCGTGCTCAAGCCCAGGAAAGTACTGATAGTCATAGGAAACATGCGTGTCTGATAAAGTCTGCTGACTGTATGCTTTCAACTCTGCGGTGAACATGTGGTCAAACTCGGGGGCCAAGATTTGTGTTGGAACGCCGGTATTTGCAATGTCCTCCTTCTGCAGCATAGACGGGTGGGCGGCGGAAATACAGTCGACAAGATTCATATCCTTGGCCGCCAAGCGGAAGACCGCCCAGCCTCCGTAGCAGTAGCCCATGGCACCCACGCGCGAGTAAGACGTTCTCAACCATTCAGCAAACTTGATGATTTCTGGTTCCCGTGTGGCTCGAGCATTGCGCTTAAGAAATGCAGGCAAGTCGATCTCTCCAAATCGGCTCTTGTCGAATAAAACGTCCGTCGGCAGGATCTCACCTCCGAAGCTGAAAAAATGTATCCTATTAACAAGGCGGCATAATGATAAGAACTGTTCATGCACTCACCAGTCAGGAACGTATACTGTAGCATTGACCTCATCGGCAAAGTGATCCGCGAGGATACGAACATTTTTAAAAGTCCAACCGAAAAGATCGTGGATCACGATTATGGCAACATCTGTGTTCGTTCCCGTAATATAGCAGTCAAGCCCAGCGACATTTCCCTCTCGGCCGGCAGCCTCAGCATCCCATCGGAGCCCCTTCAAACAGCAATCTGACATGATGGTGAATGGATATTTGAAACTGCGTGACTCTCAGGTTTGGTAAGCTTCCTAGTAACAACGACCATTTGGCGTGGTTCTCCTGTATACAAGTTTGGTGCATTTAAATAAAAAACACGCTTCTAAGAATCCACCGGGGTTTCTTAAACGGGAAGATTCGGGATAGATTGGACCCAAACCTTTCTCCAGACAGGTGTCAGCAGAATAATCACTGCCCGTGGCCTTCGGGGAAGTTGCAAACTGGTCCGAGACTCGGATAGTTGCAAGGCATTCCGAATCTTACGTTAATGTATGTAATCCTTAAAATATACCATTTCTCCGAAAGTAAACAACGGTGAATTCAATCCATATTTGTAATATTGAAATTAAGGTAGCCTATGGTAACAAGTAGACGGCAAAGCCAAGTGCAGCCTGGTGTGTAGCCTTGTATTATTCGCGTATGCACATGTCTTTCTCAATTCCCAACACTTCCACTACACAGGCCTTGGCCGAATCTTCGGTCTTTGAATGACGAAGCTCAGTTATCTCCGATTCATATAATTCTTGATTGGCCAATAACCAGGCATGTATCCGAGAACAAGGCCCCTGATAATCCGAGAGAACATCTCGAGTCCGTACTTCCGTAGGCCCTCTCCTCCGATCGCTCCTTTACTTGACACACCTACGGCACCAAGCCGGGAATATGACTCTTCCAAGGCCAATTCGGCGAATCCCTCTCCCAGGTCCGCATAGGAGACGGCGACACTGACCCATTCTGCACTGATGGCCATGCCTGACGGCTCATCCTGTACTAGGGCCGAGGGTTGCACCAATAGCAGTGACAACAGTTCAGGTGAGGCCTCGAACATCGCTGTTGCAAGACGAAGGTCGAGATACGGATGGTAAAAGGCAGTCTTGAGAAGCCAGTTGACCACTGCCCCCTCATGTGAGGCAAATCGCTCATTCCAAGTCGAGGATGATAAAAGGATCAACCGGGGGCGCTTCCAGTCCAATAAAGACGACTTCAGCTCTTGAAGTGCGTCAATAGTTGACTTGGCAATATCCTGGATCGGGCGACACCCAGGTCTGTTATCATTTTCCCCGATCGTGCAGATAATAATGTCGGCATTCTCCACGCAGCTTCGGACAGTCGCTGTGTCAGTAAGCTGCCCTTCATGTATTATTAGATTAGACGAGTGGCGAAGCTCGGGAATGAGTCCTAAAAGCTTGGCCTTTGAGCGCACCATGAGCCTCAACTCCAGCAGGGAGTCATGGCGTTTAAGCAGAGCCCGTACCGTGGCACTGCCGGTGCTGCCAGTTGCGCCGAAGACTGCAATTTTTGTTGGTGTTCTAGAACTCATGGTTGATGATGATGATTTGAAAAAGGTGAATTTTGCCGCTTGTTCTTCAATAAGCTTTGTACACGGCAAGAATATGTATGATAAAAATATGAGACTGAGGCGTCTTATATAGACCACTAGTGCATTACGAGGCCACAGTCGCTCGGCAATTTCTATCTCTAACAAGTGTAATATTCCGTTCGGAACACGGTCTCTCTCCAATTCTTGGTATACTGTGATCAATTCCTTTCCGGGAGTTCCGTGTTCCTCGCCGTGACTATACAATCAATGCCGTATCTATTAATAGAATTCCTTGAGGGTTTGTCTTGACTTTCATTCATATTCAGTCTTCAAAATAAGAGATTGTTGCATACACTGAAGTAAATTAACCCGATATATGCCACATTTGGGATTCCCAAAAAACAGTCAAACTACCCTTTCATGCAATGCCCTGTCTGCTATGCGCGAGCAACACACGGTATTTACTATCCAACAAACTCTTTTCTGCTTGGTAACCATGTCTTCAAAATTTGTATTTAGAGCACACCAGCCCATCTATATATTCTGATTATCCATACATTCACTTTCATTAGCATCAATGGTTTGTAACAATTCTTAGTCTCTACGTTGCCTCACGCTTTCGTTTAACCAACTCAACCACGAGCTTGCAACAAATATAAACCATTATAATCAGGCTTATCTAGCAATTTATGATTATCTCAAGTGTAAAGACATAGAACTACACACAATATACGTGAACAACACCTTATCCCAAGACAATCTTTGCTTACCCAATGTAAGCATTGAGTCCCAACCTATTCAACTTGGCAGTCCTAAGATAACATAATCCCTTTGGAAGAAGGTCCTGGTTCCTGCTATTGATGAAATCATAGCGACTAAGGAATAGCATCGACGCCCAGGCCAAAGCCAGTCCACCCTTCAAACTCCCTGATGAACTTGTCTGCAGCTTTTTTGTAAAACTCATCCTCAGACCCTCTAACCTCTTCGACCATGTTCAGTGCCCGTACTACTTTTGACCAATGTACATCAGTGAACCACTGACTAGCCAGAGCATCTTGGTATATCGCCTTCCACCCATCACTTTTAGCCTTGTAAGACCGAATGCTTGCAGGATCATAACTTGGAGTAAGCTCCATGAGGTAAACAAGAATGGCGAATAGCCCGAATTGCTTCATCACAGGGATCTTGTGCTCTTCCGGAATATAAGGCATCAAGATCCGAAGCGCGTGGCCAACAGTCAGTATGTGAGCAATGTAGAAATCGTAACCGCCCTCAATTGTGGCCGCGGTAGTCGCAAGAGCTGCAGCCGTCTGCAGCCAGTCAAGCAACTGTTCATCGGCGTTGTCTACAATCAAGGACGTGAAATGTTCTCTCACTGCAGGCTCGAATTTGCCGAACAAGGTGAACATGTTGGCAAATCCAAGATTCTTGGTGTAATTGGCGAAACGCTTATCATTGCGGAGGTTCTCTAGAACATCAGCAATCCTCCTAGTCTTGTATGTAGAGGTGTCTGGAGGAGGGGTGTCCAGATATGCGTGCATCTGGTCATACTCGGTGCAGCCAAGACTCAAAGCCTCGGCGATAACCTCCTTGCTATTAAACTCGTACCCGTACGCGAGATGAATAAACGGGTGTCCAACTGCGAAATAAAAAATAAATATCGAGACCCAAGTAAGAGACATCCGGATTACTTACGTCCGCCGCAAAATGAATTTACCAAGGGTTGCGTTCCCAAGTAAAGATGGTCTTCGACAACCTTCTTCCAGTCCCCGTTGACCCTTTCTATTTCAGCATCAAAGTAGTCAACATACGCAGCGGTGTATCTGTAGTAAACCATGTCAGTGCCACTCAAGTGTCTCATCAGGCAACGCCTCGTGCACATACTTCTTCTGGCCAAGGAACTGCCTCCAATTATCGCGTGTGATGACATGTCGCACAAGATCACTGTTCACGTCGTAGAGATTGGGCTTTTCAGCGGCGTAAATCTCCTCCAACCTGGCGCTGTCGGCACCAAGTAGGTAAGAGGATCCAAGAGCCTAAAACACGTCTGAGCATTCGTAATCGGGTTATGTGGACAGATCTTGTTCTCACATGAGGGACATGATTGTGGAAAAGCAACCTCGGATTACGAAGGACTGCATTTGACTCATGGTTTGCCTTTAACAGCTTGGCGAGTGTCTTTGCGGGGTCATCTTCGCGCTCACCCAGGCGATATACAGGTGCCTTTTTGAATACGGCTGCATTCACCATTGTTTATCTTGTGTAGGACCGTGTAAAGAGGGTGAATGTTTAAGGTTTAAGATCGAGGTGCAAGTGTATCTTCAGTCAACGGCTTACCAACAGAATAAATACCAGCACATCCACCCCTTGTCATATTCATGCCTCGCTAGGTGACTACAATCATGGTCGACAAGAGACCGATGTAGCAAGATCCCCCGAAATGGGCCATACGTTCGAGTAACCCTACTCGGAGCTCACCGCATGGGCCTCCGGGTCTTCTTCCGAATGCCCGAGTTTCTAAATAGGATGATCAGATCATTGAGCAGACGATCCATGGATTATCTTTGTTCCTGTCCCTACGTCATTGGATGTCGGGCCCGGAAATTGTTAATTTACCGTCGGACGCCGACGACACGACATCGGACTCGCCTTTAGCGACATTCGATTCAGAGCACGCCGACAAGTCTCTAGCGCATTAAGGAGGGCAAAGAAACAACCAAGACTTTCTAGAAATGAGAAGTCACAGGAGACTAGACTCAGAAGATGGCGTACGAGGCCCTTCAATTCCCAACGCTGCAACACCAACAGCTCCGTTGTCCCCATGTCTCTGGCGCAAGACACCACGCCGCCTTCGCTGGAGGAGCTATCTAACTCGCCTGTCATTGAGGAACACATGAGTCCAGAGATATCTGTCCGGGCGGATGGGCAGCGCAAGTCTGGATCGTCGCGAAAGCGACAGAAGATCAGCCTAGCTTGCGAAGAGTGCCGCGCGCGCAAGATCAAATGCGATGGGCTCCGTCCCGAGTGCAGTGCCTGCAGACAGGCTCCCAAGGGCATCCGAGCTTGCAGATACCTGAGTGAGCCCTCGAGGCTCTCAGGACATAAGCGGTATGGGCGAAGTGTGCTCCCATTGGTAGTTACCGTAACAAAATCTAACAGGTCTATGTAGTGCCATGCAGTCGCTCCACGACCGTCTCGCCTATCTAGAAGCCAAGCTACGGGAAGCAGAGGCACACAAATCGGCTGAGACAAGGGATAACAATGACAAGGAGCAGGACGAGGAGCCGGTATCGATACAGTCCCAGTTGCTCACTTTAGATCCGTTTCCTCTTCCACGCACTCACTTCGATACAAGCCCAGCCACCATCGATCCAAATCTACTGCCTGCTGGCCATGGGGTCTTGAAATCCCCGACAAGTCTAGGGGACAACGACATAGGGAACAACGAGGGTTTAGTTTCTCATAATAACTCGACTGCTGTGAACGCTATGGGAATTACCTGCGTGGGGTCAGACATCGCAACGGACACGGATATGAGCAGCGAATTTTATGGAGAGCCCTCTGCGGCATCACTTCTTAATGACATCCAGCATCATTCCCATCAGGCGTCTATACCTTCGACACGGGGTCGTGACAGTCTCAGTCGATACTCGCAAACGCCTCGACACACACTTTCCATGCGCCAATCGGGAGACAATGATGACTTCCATCTCCCTCCGCGATTCGTGGCCGACGACTTACTGAAGCTTTACTGTATAAGAGTGCAGAGTATTTACCCATTTCTGTGCTGGCCGATATTCATGGAAGCGTACAACCGCCTCTGGCTCTCCGACTCGGATGTCAAAAACATGCCTCAGCTTACTGGCATCGGCCTCGGAGGGCAGAACTGCTCTATACCGGTGTTCTACTGCGCACTCAATGCAGCATTCGCCCTGGCAACTCATTTCACAGATGCCCCTGCCAATCAGCGCAAAGAGAGAGCCGCCCCGTTCGTGAGGCGCTCCCGCCACCTGATGCGGCTTGACTTTTTGGATCACGGAGACCTATCCACCATCCAAGCGCTGCTTATTTTGGCACGTTACCTGCAGAACACGGGTCTGTCCACCCGCTGCTGGAACGTTGTGGGAACTGCTCACCGCATGGCTCAAGGCTTGGGCCTGCACCTTGAAGTGAATCCCAGCGCGGCGTCTGAGCTGGAAACCGATATACGGCGTCGAGTGTGGCACAGTTGTGTCTGTCTTGAGACGTAAGATTAGTCCACAGCAAACATGCTCCCGTGTTCTATCTTTTCTCTCTGGTCTTGACTAATTCCCTACATAGAGTCGCAGGCATGTTAACAGGTCGGCCATGCTCCAATCCTGATGTAGCCAAGGTCCCCTTCCCTAACCTGTTGGACACGGCCGTGTCTAAACCATCTTCTCCTGAGAGGACCACCAACCAAGGCGATCCAGACACCTCCTCGCCCATATTCTTTACGCATGCTATTAAACTCAATCAAATTCTGAATAGGATCCTCAGAAACGTCTACGGGTCTTCCAAAATGCCTGAGAATAGCACGTCTCACGATAATAATAATGAGGAATCGTACTTGGCACAACGGCTGGCATCTATTATAGTCCTCGACCAGGAGCTGGATAGGTTCAAAGCCGAATTGCCCGATTCTCTTTCTACGTTGAAAGATGATTCTCCACCTCATGATGACGATATGCTAGCACACCAGAGGCATGTGTTACACACGAGGTAAGGCATGCACGGGATATTACTATTGCTGTCTAATTCGTCTCAACGTGTCCTAGATTTCTACACATTCGTTCGTTACTCTATCGACCCCTACTTGTTCAGGTATACAGAAATGTAAAGGCCAGCGGCAAGGCACACTGGCGTAAAACCTCGCTCAACACGCTCAACAAAGCCTTTGTTGAGAAGTGTTCTCTTGCCTGCATTGCCACTGCACAAGCATTGATCAACCATATCAGTACTACCGCGGGACCAATATATGGCGGATCGCCCTGGTTTACTAGCTACTGTATGACCTCAAAGCCAAAAAACTTGTTCCTAAGATAAAGCTAACGGTTGCCTAGATATGTACCATGCGGCTTTGGTGATCATTATAGCCGACATATGCTACTCAGACTTAGATTATCCGGACCACGATAGCTTCCACAAATCATGGAAAATGTGTCAAGACTTCTTTCGCCGAATGCTAGAGTATGACTCTGAAGTTTCCCAATACTTTAGGGGCCTGGAACATATCTCTAAATCCATTGGGTCTATGCATGGTAAGATCCCCTTTGGTACCCTCAAAACGAACCTAATACCAACAGTATGCAGAATCATCAGAAGATTACGAGGCTGCACTAGAACTCGGTGTGCCTCAACAATGGCATCAAGACTTTCTCTTCGATGATGTCACAAACTCTTCCTTGGACCAAATACTAACTTTGGCTGGTGGGGAGTTAATGCCCAGCATGAGCAATGTCATTGGTGTCGAACCCTCTACTAGCAGCAATCAGCTATGGACACTCTTCAAATGAAGCGAGAGGTGGTTTTCCCAGTATATCGAGTACCGATATCAGTGTATAATGACTTGATAGAAGGCCAGCGAGTCGTGATTTTGGTTTCACACATTTGGACTTCGAGGTCGGATATGTGAGGCTGAACTTGGTTATTTTGACCAACACACGCGCAACGCTACCCGCGTCAAAAAATCAACTTCTGTAGGCAAGGAAGGCTTTTCCGCTCAACGAGCGATAAAATCAGCTACCAGTAGCCGGACATTGCTCAGGTATTAAAGTTGAAGACCTCCTTAATACCGTTTCATATGCCATACGGATAAGTTTTCTGCCGCTTAGCCTCGGGTTACTCATTATAGCCGGCCGTTCTGGCTCTCTCGGGCAGCCCACGTAGCTTGCAGGTCTCCAATGTACCGGTTGACTTGTGCAAACTTCGTAAGGTCCCATCTGCGCTGCATTTCGACTTGAATGACTTGTTTGTCCTCAGTGGCCGACATGAAGAAGCCCAGCGTATACGTAGGCCAGTTTCCGATGAAGCATCTTGCCCACCCATCATCATGCTCATATTTCTTAAAGATTTGAATCGCTCTCCTAATCTGCCAACAGCCACCCATCACTTCCAAGGGCGGTCCTGGTTCTGAATATGGCAGCATTTGCCTCCACAGTAACGAAACAATAATGGCATAGAGAGACCCCGCATCCTTGTAGTATTCTTCTTGGGTGTTTGAGCTTTCCGACGTGGACTGTGGTTCTTGGCTTCCGAAGAGCATCATTTCATATCCAAAGACCTCGGACTGAACAGATTGCATGTCTATCGAAAGTGGCAGAGAGTTCCGGCGCTGTTGGCGGAGCAGCAATGCGAGCCGAAAGAGTGCAATGGGGATGCCAATTACAGGACTAGCTAAACGCCTTGAGGGTGTATTACAGGAAGACCGATCCAATAGATTCTCCGCTTGATACCAAAAGTCAATGTAGGAGTCATAGTTTGGTCCGGATAATTCCGTCCAGAGGCCAGTCGTCATGTGGAATATGTGATACAAAACGCTCTCCACAGCCAAGAAGTCGAATAGCCGATCAATGCCCATAGGACGGTTCCATAGCCGTAATGCGATGATGCTCATCGCCGCATTTAGGTGTCGAGGTATATCAGAATACGTGCCCCAGCCCATACACTGTCAGGACATGAAAGCGTTAGCATCTAGTTCAATGCAATAGAGCCTTGGCGAGCTTACCCCGTGGATATACAATAAAATAATCGACGTCAACAAGCCGTCGTTGGTTTCAGGCTGAGACGGAGCAACAAGCAACTGAGAGAGCTTCGTAATGGCTCTGGAGTAATAAGTCAAAGCCAGCTCACGCATCTGTACGCATTCACCAATGGAATGAAGGTGCGATGTAGCACATGCTAAGACTGAGTAGTATAGGGATTTATGCGACGACATTAGACGCAAGATCTCGGTCAGCCATCCATGATAGAAGTCTGAATGGCACCCAGGGAGGATTATGAGACCATAGTATATATCAACGAAGTGGCGGCAGATGATAGGTTCCAGCACATGAGCCATGGCTTGGTGCGCCATGGCTGGCTCAAGGGAATGAAGAACGAGCGTTTGTGAGCGATCGATGGAAATTACCTTTTGATCGTCATTGGGAGCCTCTTGCGCAACTACCGACACATCGTCGTCTAACGCCCTTTTGTGATGTCTTGATTGGCGGTGAGACAAGAACCGGCGATCGATGTTGTCATTCGGCTTCGGCCATCTACATTCTCGATTGGCAGATCCGCAACTTTGGCATACAGGGAGCGCTTCGTCACACTTTACTCTCCGTTGCCTGCCTACATGGTCATCCAATTAGTAGATGGCAGCCGAGTTTGGGAGATTAGGGGCGCTTCTGGCTCACAAGTGAGGCAGCCAGTCTTTGTACGTAGTTTTGCTCGTGCAGGCCTTTTCATGGCGCTGGGATGTAGCGATTTTCTGATGGGACATGAGGTTAATCAAAGTGGAGATGCATTATCCGCAAATTGCTGGCGGCGGAGGCACTTTATTAAAAGCAAATGGTGAGTTAGTCAGCCTGATCATGATCATAAGCGGCTTAGGATCAGTGTCTCTCTATTGGCTGGCTGAACAAATCCAGGCCATGCCGTTGACAAACTAACAAGAAAGGTGGAGTATGGCAATCTACACCATGCAACAGGTCAACTTCAAAGACGGCTGGCTCATGTGTGAATAGCTCACGCACGGCGTGAATAATTAAGATTGATAAGCTATAACGAGAAATGCTAAATACTCGGGGATCTCATGGCATGGCTCAAGCCCTCATCTACAGAGTGAAATCTACCGAGGCGCTCCGCAACCTGAACGCCCTTTCGTGGATATATGGCAACAATTATCTATCTTTACCTCTCCATACGGCCAAATGGAAAGCAAAAGGTGTTGAATCTACTTAGTACTGCGTTATCCCACATGTCTACTAGCAAAATCATCGTCAACAAGCTTCCAGTACTTGCTGGCACTCTTCACCCGGAGCGACTTTCCATATCTAATCATGACAAGGAAGGCAGAGGAGGCAAACATGCCAATAAAAGCGGCAGAGATGAAACAGTTCTGGTAGCCCAAGTTGGTGATCCATGGGGTAATGCTTGTGCCACGATGTATTTGTCAGTACAGCTCGAAATATTCTCGTGAAAGCTTTGGGAAGTAGTTCTACAGTTGATTACATACCCGTAGCTGATAGCAAACGACATAGTGTTCCGGACGATAATCACGGCAACGAGTGCATCAGAACTGATGTCGTGATAGCTATCGATCAGATAGTTTACGCTGAGAGTGACGCCCATTGTCATGGTAAAGGCCAGACATCCCATGGCCACACAGAGGCCCATCCAGTGAACCCCGTGCTGAGCACCGACACCCCAGAGAATTAGGGAACTTGGCACGATGATCGCACATAGACTGAAGGGCCACAGGCGATGCTCTGCCTCCATGATACCGTTATTTCGGCGGGCAAGCTTGATGGTCAGCCAGTCGCTCAACCTGCCCGAGATCAAGGATCCCACTATCACCCCAACACAGCAGGAGAGATAGCTAAGTCCGACCATGGAGGAAGAAAAGTTATACGGCTCTCCTGACAGAACTATAGAGGCAGTAGCACCGAGAACGTTGAACCAGATAAGGTAAGAACCGTAAGAGAAGCCGGCATAAAAGATTACAGGCCATGAAAGAAAGGTGAATGCCCTGACCACGCGTTGTAGCATATTCTGGCCTGGGGCTGGGTACCAGACTGCCAGCTTCTGAACGAAGGATCGTGGTGCCTCAAATACTTCACCATTTTCAGCGAGGTATGGACTCCCAGCCGGAATATCGCTCTTTTCACTGTCCGGGGGGTCTCTGGCATTGTGGTCTGTGTTGGTAACAGGTCCTGTCTGCGTTCGGGTTTCCTGTCCAGAGTGCACCCGGTGGTAGTTTGTCTCTTCCATGAATAGAAAGAGGAAGACGAAAGCAGCAGCGAGGAAAATAGCAGGCCAGTAAAATACCCACTGCCATCCCTGGTACTCTGCGATGAAGCCACAGATAACAGGCGCAAAGTAGTTGCTCCCAGCTAGGGAAAGGGCGTATATTCCCATATATGTACCACGCTCATGAGTGAAGTACTAGTCAATGATAGTGTTAGAGCCACTTCTCAAATTCTGAATATATTGAACGCCCAGGTTTTGACAAAATTTGCCAGTCGTGCCACCGGGGAGTTTAGACTTACAATATCGGTAACAGATATCTCAGGAAGAGCTTCAATCGGCGAGATGAAGAATCCTTGCAGAATAGACTTGGCAATCCATTCGCCGTCGCTCTTGATATGTGCGCTATAGAGAGAAGAAAGGTAAGTTAAGCAACCGTCAACTTAGGTTTCACAATTCCTTTATTGTAGAACCATTCATTATATAGGTGGTGAGACCTACCCCCAAATGCTTGTACCCTAAGGAATAAGGAATGAGGAGTCAGTATATGTTACCACTACCCGATATGGCGATTTACTTACAATAGCACCGATCACGGAAATAAGATAGCAGAGACGCTTGCCATAGCAGGCGGAAAAAGGCTGCCAGAATAGCAAAGCCCATCCCAAGAATAGGTACATATACCCAGTCCCCTCGTTGAGGGTAGCGATGGAGACGCCAGTCGCTCCAGAAAGCGGCACAAGGACCGAGTATACGTTAGAAACGGCGATTCCGGTAAACCAAGTGAACCTTTAACACACGTGAGTTTCAATACATCTTCATTCTCAGTTATATACCACTTAGATGCGCTTACAGATTTTGGCAAACAAGGGAGAGCAACTTGCGCCGTGGAGCCCAATTCAAGGGGTCGTTAGGGTCGTTGGAGGGCGATGGGATCAAGATGATGTCGCCATCGCCGCTTGAGTGACGAGCCTGGAGGTTATGATCCAAGTCGACGAGATGCGCCGTGCCTGGGACAGGAGCCCTGTTCGCCATATCTTCCGGGGAATTGGACATGCTTATGTTGTCTCATCAAAACTTAAGGGGTGAAATGAACTATATTCTGTCAGAACATGTAGACCGGTGTAACCATAGCTCGAATTGAAAGGTCCCTACACAGGGCAGCCACAACTATTATATACACCTATTGAATCATATATCAAGCCGAGCATGGTGTTTATCATCTTTCCCCGCGATAGCTATTAATTCCGGCATCTTGGCAAGCGAGACCACATGGCGGAGGTGGAGCACGCAAATAAATGCCATTGGTTAGCTATGAAGCTTTCAAGATAAGTCCAGGATTACGCCGTTGGTGATATCCGGGCCTAGACCGACGACGATGAGCTGCTGATAAATGCTCCAGCTTATGGCCGATGAGAGTGTAGAGCCAATCGAGTATAATTACGAGTCTCCGCAGGACCGGCTGCGTCTCGACGAATAAGACATAATAACGAACTCCGCTCCCTCTTGCAGTTCTAGTGGAGCTGACATGGTTCAACAGATGGATCTAACAGTTAGACCTAACTTATTACGGTATCAGCCGTGTTTCTAAGTTTACCCTAGACATGTCCTGATGACTTCTCGACTACTTCCCGCAGGAGACCTCCGCTACAAGAATACGCCATGAAATGAACTCGGGACTTAATTCGCGTTTCTAGAGAAACTAGAGGCTTCTCTCATAAATCCAACTTTGCGTGATAGTCTCGAATTTCGTTGAGTCAGGTAATTGGTTCAGTCAAGTAAATACCCCTGAATGAGAACTGCAACATACCTCCCTCCACATGATCAGCTTTCGCAACATCCTTGGATTGAGATTCTTTAAAAAGTAATTTATTTGTACTAGGCAGTCTATTATCCACTAATCAACCGCGACCCGTGATGAATTAACTACGTCGCTTCTCCCCCCGGCCCACAAAGCTCCAGCCAATTTGATGTGCCATCCTGACCTTCACGCCAAGCTCCTGTGCAAACGCCCCGACTAAGCCGGGGTTCTGCTGGAACCAACGTCCAGCTAGAACGACATCGATGCCTGACTGCAGCGTGTCCTCCGCCAGAGCTCCAGTCTTGATTCCCCCAACCGCTGCCACGAGCAGCCTGTCACCCACGGCTTTCTTAATCTCCTGCGCGAAGTGAACCTGATAGGCAGGGCCCGCCTTAATAGCAATGGCCGACTTGGCGTGTATCCCACCTGAGCTGACATCAACCAAGTCGACCCCATGGTCGGCCAGGCGGGAGGCGAACTGAACCGATTGGGAGACGGTCCAGCTGTCGGGGAACTCGGCCTTGAGGCTTGAGTCAAACTCGAACCAGTCCGTGGCACTAAACCGCACAAACAGAGGCATGGTATCAGGGATGGCAGCCCTGATAAGATCGGCAAGTTCCATATGGATCCTAGTCCGGTTTTCAAAGCTGCCCCCATACGCATCAGTCCGCTGGTTGCTAATGGGGCTTAGAAATTGGTGCAGTAGATAGCCATGAGCCGAGTGTAGTTCGATGGCATCAAACCCTGCCTCGACCGCTCTCCTAGCCGCGTCCACAAATGAAGCCTTCAGTTCCTCAATGTCTTCTAGAGTAAACGCCTTGGGCACAGGATTGATGCCCTCCTCTTGTGGTATGGCTGAAGGGGCGGCAATCTCGTCCGGCCAGCCGCCGACCTCCTTGACCGCCACAGCATTGGCACTCAGCCAGGGAGAAACGCAACTCGCCTTGCGGCCGGCGTGGGATAGCTGGATGGCAATCTTCTGGCCTTGGCTATGCGCAAACTCGGTGATGCGCTTCAGAGGCCCAATTTGGCCGTCCTCCCAGAGGCCAAGATCCTGAGGCGTTATGCGGCCGGTCCGCTGCACGGCAGTAGACTCCATAATGGCCAGCCCTGGGCCGCGCTGGATGATGCCACCCAGGTGCGTCAAGTGCCAGTCAGTAGCGTAGCCATTCTTGGCCGAGTACTGGCAGAGTGGCGAAAGAAACACGCGGTTCTGGAAGGTAGTGCCGCGGATAGTGATGGGGGTGAATAGCTTCGTTGATCCGTCCAACCCGGTTCCTGCTGGAGGGTCCTGAGCCGGCGTGTAGTAAGAGATGCCTTTGGCGGCAATGTTGTCGATGATTGCTTGGGCCATAATTGCAATAATCTGAGACTTTGGTGATATCTAGAGCGATTAAAACGTTAGGATACTCCTGGGAACACCGAGTATGTATGTAATAAGGGCCAGAGTCCAGAGTACACGCTATGAGTTTACCTTACCCCTTACAATACGAGGCACCATATTTCGCCCAGTAGATTTATAATCACTCATTATTAATTCATTGAGGTATTTTCCATGATATTGGGACGATTAATAATGTGAAATCATAACTACCATGATGCGATGGATATCTGTAGTTGATCTACTGACTTGCGCGTCTGCATGGGTGCCACCGAGTGTGCATGGAGGGTGTGGAAACTGGGCCGACACGAGTGACAATCGAGAACTAGCGCCGAAAGCAAGCGCTGGTCATTTAATTTGTCAAGTGAGCCATTGAAACTAAACCTTTTTTCATCTTTCGGTTTGTCACACGTCTGATTGCATGCCATGTGTCCCCCCTTCTCTCTTGCAACGTTCCTATCCACCCCTCCCATCCTACATCCATCCTTTGTATATATAGACCGCCATATCTAGTATTAGTGTACCGAGACAAATTAAAATCGAATGTCACTCATAACCCATACGGCAGCCAAGTCATTTCCCTCCCTCCTGTAAACCGAAGATAAATTTTCTTTTTCATTCAACATCGTTTTGAGAACCTTGTTTGAGAGCGTTGAAATGTCTTGGAAACCCATCGCCCAAGCATCTCAGGCCAGTTTGTTGAAATCTATTCCAGAACGTTGGCGGCTGGATCTGCGAAAATACAAGTCACTGAGGGATGTCACGAACGTACCTTATACCTGTGGCATTCTGACTGATGCCCAGCTCAAGATTACCGAACTCACGGCAGTTGAGATATTAAGGGGTCTCGAGGCTCGCGAGCTCAAAGCAGTGCAAGTTTTAGAAGCCTTTGCTGCCCGTGCTGCCATTGCTCATCAACTGGTAAGACAGGACTTCCTGAGTAAGGGGTTCGACTAACGTCAGAGTAGGTCAATTGCCTGACCGATTGGTTCTTTGAAGAAGGTCTCCAGCAAGCGGAAGAGCTTGATGATCTTCTTGACTCTGGTGGTAAACTAAAGGGTCCATTACATGGAATTCCTATCGCTGTAAAGGTACGCGGAAGCATCCTATAACCTGGTGCTTAGTTGCAAATGTACTCATGCCAACTTTTTTAGGACTTCCACTTTCTCAAAGGTCATCCTACAACAACGGGGTATGTCTCAAAGAGAAATTTTGTTCCTGAGCATGATTCTGCCCTGGTAGCCACGTTGCGTGCCGCTGGAGCGGTGTTTTTCTGCAAGACAACCATGCCCCAGACGGGAATGGCATTAGAGACGGCCAGCAATCTTTGGGGCCGAACCCTGAGTCCCTTCAACATCGACCTAAGCTCCGGTGGCAGCTCAGGAGGAGACGCGGCCCTGGTCGCGATGAGGGGCTGTCCCATCACACCCTCCACTGACATGGGAGGATCCATCCGCGTGCCAGCTGCTTTCAACGGACTATACGCCATTCGACCTACTGCAGACCGCGTGCCAAAAGGTGGTATGGACAACATCAATAGCACGGGGCAGACAACAATTCAATTATCCTGCGGGCCCATTTGTCACTCTATCGGCGACCTCGAGTTGCTTACGAAGGTCATCAATGCCTACCCGCACAACAAGTATGATGTTACCTGTGCACCGATTCCGTGGAGGAACCTAGATACCTTGAAGGGCAAACTCACCTTTGGAATGATGAGGTGGGATGGTGTGGTTATGCCTCACCCGCCGATACTCCGGGCCATGGGATACGTCAAACAAGTGCTCGAAAGGGCCGGACACCAAGGCAAGTCTCTCCTCGCGTACAATGTACTTTGCTCTAATCAGCGCTTACTCGAGCCGCAGTCATTGAATTCGACCCACCCTTTGATTGCTGGGACGCGTCTCAGACAACGGTAATAAGAGTGTCACCAAAAATAGGTGACAAGCAGCTCGCTAACAAAAGGTCATCTAGTTCGATATATACTACCAATCAGGGGCAGGACAGACACTAGCCGCTGTTGAAGCTTCCGGTGAACCACTTTTGCCAGCCGTTGCGGATCTGCTCAAGGTTTACAATACGAGAGAGCTCTCTACTATAGAAGCATTGGGAGTATGTTAGCGCTTCAAGCATGATAAGAATTTTGGCTTCCTAACTATATAACAGTTGAACGTGAAAACAAGAATTTTCAAAGAACGGTTCCGCGATGCGTGGAGCGAGACAAACCGCCGCACCACGACGAGCCGTCCTATTGATGCACTCATCTGCCCCCCGGCACCGTCAGCGGGCATTCCTCACAACTTTAACATCTACTGGGGATATACCTCATTGTTCAACCTTCTTGACTACCCTTCCGTAATCTTACCTGTTCCCAAGTTCAAGATCGATGCTCAGAAGGACCCTATGGACGTTCACTACCGACCGCTAGAAACGAATCCTTATGACAAGACTAATCATGATTTGTGTAAGTCTCCCAACCCTGAGCTACGGAGCTGAACTCGCATGCAGTCGCTGATGATCTCTTTGCCGTGAACAGACGATCCGAACCTATTCTCGAACCAGCCGTCGACGATCCAGATTGTGGGACGCCCTTTTGAGGACGAAGAGCTCATCCGAGTGGCATCAATTCTGGATACTCTACTTCACTCTACTTGACCTGGGTCAGATGGGACGGTTCTGCAAGGTAGCTGTGAGAGGACGGCGAATCGGTTGGAAATATTTCGACGGAGACGCCTAGACCAATAGGGCCTTAGTAGTGGCTTCATTGAGTATATATATACTACCGAGTTTATATATATATATATGTACCTACAAGTGATTCATGATTGCTCCAGTCCGAAGCATTAGATATTTGGAGCTGCGCACGCAAAGGAGCATCAGCACATGAGATAACAACACAGCTTAACTCTCCTTTGAATGAATAGTTACTGCTCTTACTATCAAATCCGGCAGTTGTTTTCGAGAGTAAGTCTCGTGCCAACCAACTAGACTCCTAACTCAACTACATCGTGTGTTAATTAAACTTTGCCAAATTGACCCCCCAGAATTTTCCCGTCGCTATTCACCTGGTCCAAATCTGGAACGTCAGAGTGCTTCACGCCGTCGAATAATTCATCCACCTCTTCAAGCGTTTTGCCTTTTGTTTCAACCCAGTAGAAATAAACGAAAATGATGAACAGGAAATTCCAGCTCGCGTTAATGACATACGTCTTCCAGCCCACAGCGTCAAACATGTAGGGGAAAACCATGGTGACAAAGATTCCGCATGCCTTGTTAATAAGAGTAAAGAGACTCATACCCGTAGCACGTAGTCGGAAAGATAAAACTTCTGGGGGGTACATCTGCGTCAAAGGCGTAAGACCAAACGAGTAAAATCCCAGGAATAAAAACACCGCGGCCACTGTGCCCTGAATACCCGGAGCATATGAGCTTGTACCGTAGACAGCCGTGAGGGCACCGACGATATAGAACATGACGGTACAACCAACCAGGGAACTAAGACAGAGCATCCGCCTTCCGAGTCTTTCCGCTAGAAGACAGCCGGCAAAAGCAGTGAGGAGTTGCCAAACCGATAGAATAAGGTTAATTTCCATTTGGGTCGTAGACGAAGTGATACCAGCCTGGGATAACATATCTCCGTAGTAGTACGTGATAACGTTGGATCCGGTCAACATTGTCACAGGGGAAACTGACAGGGCAAGGATAAGCCGTCGCCTGTTAGGCGCACTGCGCACGACTCCGACAAAGCCAATGCTCTTGCCTTCAGTCTTCTCATAATTTAACGTGTCAACAATTTCCGTGTATTGAACTTGGACAATCGGGTCGTCAGGTGTGGAACCGTTGATGCGCGCAAGAACTTTCATGGCTTCATCCAGGCGATCCCTATGGATAAGCCAGCGAGGAGATTCGGGGAGGAACGGCGTAAGGACAACAATCAGTAAAGGAGCGAAACCCTGAAACAAGGATGGCACTCTCCACGCCCAATCCGAAGGCTCAAGTGCAGTACACTACAGATATGTTAGGTTCTGTTTATCGCAAACATTACAAAGAAAGGGGGGACTTAGTAATAACTCACTCCAAAAGATATACCGGTGGCCAGGATACCTCCCACAGCCCAGCACGTGTAATATAAGCCCAAGGCAAACGCCCGAATCTTTGGCGGAGTTGTCTCGGCCACATAGATACCTGCAGCGGTTTGAGCGAGGCCCATGCCCAAGCCGACAACCATTCGGCCAGCAATGAACATGGCAAGGTTTTGAGCACTAGCGGTGATCACGGCTCCAAGAATGTTGAAAAGTGCGCTGGTCAGAACGCTGTATCGCCGGCCAAACTTATCAACAATAAATCCTGCAAAAAGTGCAATCAGGATTGCGCCCAGGGATGTGGCCGTAGAGTTGACGGCCTTTGTGGCCGTGGTTATTTCGAAATAATTGTTATAGCTGGGCATCACATTGACAGAGCCCATGACAGATCCATCGTAGGCAATAGTGACGGAGTCAACGACACAGGCCGAAATAACCAAAGCGGCAGTGAAGCCGATCTTCACCGACTGAGAGTATTTACCGAACATTATGGTCGACTTGGAGGGCTTCGAGCCCGAACGAATGTCTCTAGTCTTGAGGTGGAAGAAGAGTGGGTGTGCCAATCCTGGCATTACTCGGCGATGGCCTGCCTTTTATCTTCCGGAGAAGGGGGATATCTTGGAATCCTTGTTCTATCTTCCCCGGTAGCACTTCATTCCCCGCGTTTCCTAAAACGGTCCGCTATCTTGGCCATTCTCCTCTATGCGGGGTCAAGCAAGAGTCATGAGAGGACTGCTACTATAGACGTGCCGACTGGGAACCTGTACCCTAATTGACCAATGAACTGGTCCTTGATCTCATCTTGATCAGGTCAAGCTAGTCTCCTGATAGGATGTGATAACGGCAGATTGCATCCATACTTTAGATTCCTTATCACTCTATTGGATCAGGGCGTTCATTGTCCAGTCACCACAAGCAATTCCTGGCTAACTAAGGCTGTGGAGATAATGGGAGATACACGCACGAGGGGCATCCCATGCTCATGGTTGCGCTAGACTATCGGAGCGCGGCCAACCCGACATTGATATCGCCGCTAATCCCTTCATCGGCGCTTCTTAGCGTTGGTTTAGGCGGTCTGGCCGACTATGCTCTACTTTAGGTCTTTCGCTCTCTTCCTTGGAGGTTAGATACTTGGTGGCTCAAGTCAACTTATAAATTGCTTGTATATCTACCTAGGGTTGAGCACAAAGATGCCCCTACCCCTTGTCGAGGATTCGTTGGATTTCTTGGCCGCAGGTAGCGATGACAATTGGTAGCGACGCCCACAGTGCGATCATATAGTCAGCAAATAATCGATGGTTTTACAGGGGATCCTTAATAGAACATCGGGATTGAAGTGCTGTTCAGAGGCGGGTCATCCGATCTGTCGGAGCAGCCGACATGGCAGATTAAGACCGTAGGAAGTATCGAGGGCCGTCGTTGGTCCGGTGAACTACAGTTTACGGTGGTTTAGTCAACTGACAGAAGAAGTACGGGCAATGCAAACCCTGCAATCAAGGGTGATAGGCGCATGGAATGGCTAGCTTTGAAATCAGGGAGAGATTCCTCTTCATCTTTATCAAGACAACTCCAAAGATTAAATTCAAAACGGTGTAGATGCTAAATATTAGCTCACAAACATGGATAGATAAGACTACGTAAAGTATTGGTATGTCTCACCACGCCCAAAAGGATAAGCTGGTACAAAGACCCTCCGGTTTATACTTCACGTGAGTTCTCACGAAATACCACAATTCTTGATATTACTTTTCTAACGTGAGTAGCCATGAGATATGGCAAAAGTAATGACTCGTGGGCAAATGCCTACCAGGCGGCTAAGATGTTTGTGTCGAAGATGACATTGGAAGAGAAGCTAAATTTGATTTCGGGACTATTTTTCTTACAATTCATTGCGTTGATGTAAATAAATTTGGAAGATAATAATGGTCTTAGTCTGGTTCTGAACTTCAACCGAGTCCTCCCTGAAAACTACTTCACTTCTTGAGTTTAGATTTAATAATCAAACAATCCTGCTTACCATATATGAAGGGAAAATATTGCAAATTACTCTAAGTTGAAAGCAATTGACGCAAAAATTATAGCTAAAGGCTATATCCGGCGTCAACGATAATATTCGTCCCGGTCATGCTTCTGGACCTTGCTAAGCCAAAGACTTGCTCCGCAACATCCTAACAGAATAATTAGAAACCATTAACCGAAAATCCCCCAGCTCTGGAGTCCTTACCTCGACGTCGACAAAACGTTTCAATTTAGTTCCTTGTCGGTGAGATTCTTTCTGTTCAACTGTAAATCGAGTTGCCCATTCCTACTCCACCCTTAGTTCAAAGTTATACATAGTTAATAACACCTTATCTCACCGTTTGCAGTAGCCCTGGTGATACACTGTTGACGCGGATCTTAGGTGCTACCATACAAGCTAAACCCTTAACCATGTGTAACTGGGCGGCCTTTGTGGTTCCGTAGGCCTGATATCAGACTGTTAGCATCCAACATGTAAGGTCCATCCATATGGGCTTGGGAATATACCAAAGAGCTACCCATACCAGTCACGCCTGCAAGGGATGCAGTTGTGATGAAAGCCCCTTCCGTTTCCTCGAGGTACTGCTTGGATGCTTGCAAAAGCCAAAGGTGAGATTTCACATTCATGTTAAATGCTCTATCCCAGTCTTCTTCAAACACGTTATCGTCAATCGATGCTGTATCGCGGAATCTGGTCCAGCCTCCATTCGACAACACAACATCGATACGTCCCATGGCAGCATATGTCTCCTTGACCAGACGTCGGATTTCCGGAGCCGAAGCCAGATCGGCCTGGATCGAGATATATCGCGATATCGTTGTAGCTCCCTCAACATCATCTAACTTGGCATGTTGGGCAGAAAGTTCTGCAATCAATGTCCTAGCACGCTCGCTATCCGTGTTGTAATTGATGACAACTCTATATCCATTATGGGCAAACAGTCGAGCAACGGCAGACCCGAGACCCGCGGATCCGGCTGTGACAAGTATAACTGGAGACGCGCTCATGTGTTTTCTGGTGCTTGCATATGTGTAGACTTAAGGTCACTATTCTCACATGGGATTCTTTTTCTAATGAATAACGAAACAGGTGTGTTAAACAGAATTACATGCATCATTAAGTTCAACATCTAGCCTTTACCATTTCCGGATAGAACCTAGAGAAGGACTTTGAGGCTACGAAACATCACTGATGCCGGTTATGTCAGCCTGCTAGTTACGCATTGATCATCGGTCCCAGCTACAGCACTGACCGGGCTTTAGTTCGTTATCATTCATCAAAGAGCCGCGCTGGACCATTTCCGCGGGGACATGCCGACCCAATCGGATTCGTTGTGTATGGGGAGATAAGCAATGAGCGGTCCTTCCGACTGCCTCCAGCACTTTGACACAGTACTGGGCGTGAAAACCATGGGCCTAATGCTGTCGGCACGTCCGACTACACCCAGTATCCCCATGTCGACAGAGACTAACTTGTTTTAGGCACGTCAGCAGATGAGTTTCGCCGGGGAGGATGATGTGAAAGGGAAGCTGATCTCATCGTACAATAGACAGGCACATAAGAGTACTGCGTCAATGGTCTGTTTTGCATCAAAGGTGCAACTAGTAATCATTGATTAACGACAGTCTCTCTCGTGTCAAGGACATATGCACGATTCTTGCCAGTACTATGATCATGGATTCCAAGGCTGAAAGTATTCTGGCCCTCTTCCAACACCGATTGAACGGAGTCATCGGGAATGAGAACGCCGGGCCGCTGTTCACGGCTGTTGGTGTCATTCTTTTCTCCTACCTCTTGTACCAGGTAAGAATATCCCTGGTCTAGTCCCGCACGATACCATTGGTTTTGACGACACCCCATAGATTGCGTTTGCTACAGACATCCCACACATCAAGGGACTACCAGAGATTCCAGGCGCAGTGCCCATTTTCGGTCATCTTCTGAGTCTCGGTGAGGACCATGCGAGCTCATGCGAAAAATGGTGGCGTCAGTACAACCAGTCTGTGTTTCAAATCAAACTCGGCAACACTCGCGCTGTCGTCGTCAACTCCTTTGATGATTGCAAGAAGATGCTGTTGGGGAACCAGAATGCTGTTATTGACCGCCCAAAGCTATACACCTTCCACGGTGTCATCAGCAGCACCCAAGGCTTCACCATTGGCTCTTCTCCATGGGATGAGTCCTGCAAGAACAAGCGGAAGGCTGCTGGCACGGCTCTTGGGAGACCTGCATTACGGAGGTACTACCCGATGTTTGATCTAGAGAGTTACTCTATCCTGCGTGATATGAAGAAGGATAGCAACAACGGGCAGATTGAGATCGATGTCCGCCCCTATATCCAGAGATATGCACTCAACACGACTTTGACGCTCTGCTACGGCATCCGTATGGATGGCGTCTATGACGAGCTGCTTCGAGAAATCCTCTACGTCGGTTCAGCCATTTCACTTTTGCGCAGCGCGTCTGAGAACCTACAAGACTATGTGCCATTCTTACGCTACCTTCCTACCAACACCAAGAATTCTCGATCAAAAGAGCTTCGGGAGCGCCGTGATGCTTACTTGAATCTACTCCTGGACAAGGTTAGAGCCATGATCAAGGAGGGAACCGATAAGCCTTGTATCTCATCGGCCATCCTAAAGGATGAGGAGACCAAGCTTACTGGGGTTGAAGTATCATCTATCTGCTTGTCACTTGTGTCTGGAGGGTTCGAGACAATTCCCGGCACCCTCACTTCGTGCATCGGTTCCCTGTCGACAAAGGAAGGCCAAGAATGGCAGGATCGTGCGTACGCAGACATCAAGCGCCACTATCCTGACGTTCGTGATGCTTGGACTAGTTGTTACGTCGAAGAGAAAATTCCATACATTAATGCTATCGTCAAGGAGGCTGGCAGATACTACACAGTCAGTTCTATGAGTCTTCCCCGAAAGACGGTCCAAGAGGTGAACTGGAACGGCGCCATTATCCCACCCAAGACAATGATTTTAATCAATGCACAAGCTGGTAACCATGGTAAGATTATGCTTCGTTCAGTGGTCGGTGTTTTCCCCTATGTTTGACGCTAATCCCTGGTCTTATAGACGTGGATCACTTCGGTCCGGATGCCGGGAAGTTCAACCCTGAACGATGGCTTAAAAGCCTCGATCCACCTGCTGAGGCGGAGATCGATGGTCTCAACCATCTGAGCTTCGGGACGGGCTCACGTGCATGCTCTGGTCAATTCATTGCATCTCGAATGCTTTACTCCGCCCTTGTGCGCATACTCTCGTCGTACAAGATCGTAGCGAGCGAGGAGATGCCACCCAACACAGATTATGTGGAATACAACCAGTTCAAGACTGCGTTAGTAGCTATTCCAAGGGAGTTCAAGGTGAAACTCATCCCAAGGGATACTGATGCGACAACCGAGTGTCTTTTTGATGCAGAGGAGAGAACAAGGGAGCACTATAAAGAGTAGCGGGGTGTGCATAAGTATAAAAGGTGGCAGCAACTTGGTGGATGGCGACTAAAGAACGGTCCTTGGCAGGTATGAGATAAATTGAATAAGACTTATGCGTACAATGATCTTCTGCTAAACCATATCTAAATACAACTGATCCAGTTACTGAAACGCTCACATTATCATCTCATCTACTCGCGGACTAGCCAAGAAGACATGTTTGATATCAAAAAACTGGTCAAGACTGGAATGAGCATTACCAAGTACAAAAAGAAGAACCTGCGGAAGACAGAACTCAATGTCAACAAGTACAAAGGCAAATCTCTGCACGACGAGTTCACCTACAAAGGCGCCAGTTGGAGACGCAGGCTGGTTCGGACACTAAAAAGACGAAGAAACCAGATGAGGAACTAAAACATCAATATTTTCATCATCCACTAGATTATTTGAATGCTATTCCTAATAGTACGCTCTGAACATCTTTGACTACAATCAAGGGGGGCAAGTGGGTGAAATAAAACGCGGCATACCAAAGCTCTTTCCCCGTAAGGTAGGGAGGGACCTTGTTTTTTTTTTTAACTAAACACTACAATAAGAGAATAATAAACTATTCCATAATATTAAGCTTGATATTGGATCTAGTACTGGGTTGTTTATTGTGATATTGTGTTGAAATTCAATACTGAACTATCTCGACGTGCCAGGTTTTATTTCACCCACTTGGACTTGGGGTAGGAAGACGGTTCCCGCGCTACATTCACTAATTCCCGCTTTCCGATGATTGTCGGCATGTCCGATGAGGCCCTTTTGAATCAGTCCCCCCAATCACTAGTCATATCATCTCATATCCTCTACCAATAACAAATAGTATGCATAAAGCAGTCAAGAAAAGCTTAGCAAGCCTACATACGAAGGAAAAGCTCCCATCAAACCAGTTCTCTACCAAACCATGTCTTCACTTGACATCAATCATCTTTTCAGCGTCAAAGGCTTGGTGGCAGCAGTAACCGGGGGAACAAGCGGACTTGGTTTCATGATTTGCAAGGTGCGTCATGGCCCTTTGCTACGTTGCAAATCATTAACACTAGCTAAAGGCTGTACTAGGGATTGGTTGCGAATGGCGCCAGAGTATATGTCATTGCGTTGCCGTCTGAGCCCATTGCCGAGAAGGTAGCGCAGCTCAACGAGCTGGGACAATCTTCCTCTGGCACCGCCCACGGGTGGGTGCAGCAATGCCTTGCTCGCGATGGGCATAACCCGATAAGCCTGTTGCTGACGGAGCGTTTGACCTTAGGATTGAATGCGACTTAACCGACAAGGAGAGTATTGAGAATGTGGCCAAGCATATAGGCCAACGAGAGACATACCTGGACATTCTTGTCTCTAACGCCGGCATTAGGCGAGACCCAGTGATTAAATGCGATGTACTGTCTGCCCCCTTATTAGATCTCCAAGCATCTATGTGGTCATCGAGGCACTCGGACTGGGCAGACTCGTTTTGTGTCAATACGACAGCTCATTATTTCCTCTCTGTTGCGCTCATGCCTTTACTGGCAGCTGCCTCACAGCGCAAGCTAGAGGATGGCAGACTTGGAAGAAGCAACGGTCGCGGAGTCATCGTCATCACAAGTTCATGTGCAAGCATGCACAATGCGACTAATGTAGACTTGACTAGCTATGCTACAAGCAAAGCCGCGACTGATCATCTGGTCAAACTACTGGCCTCCAAGTTTGGCAGGTTCTATATCAGAGTAGTAGGAATCAATCCAGGCTGTGAGTATCAGCTGCCAACCCATCTCGAGACCCAGGCGAAGTGTTGATCAGTTCCTAGTTGTACCAAGCAAAATGAATCCGATTGGAGAGGAAGGAAATATGTTCAGCGCACTGTTTGACAAAGTGCCCGCCAGGCGGCCGGGGGATGAAGAAGACATTGCCGGCACGGTCCTATATCTTGTCAGCCGCGCGGGAGTAAGTCACCTCGCATCCGACGGCAGCATTGCTCAAGCCAAGATAATGCTAACCTACTATGAAAGGCCTACGTTGATGGAGTTTCTCTCTGCGTGGATGGAGGGCGTGTGCTCTTTGCCAATGGCCAAGAATGACAGTTTAGATTATATTGGAAGAGACAACTGGATGTGGAAGAACAAATGCATGATCGGGGCTACATCTCCAAAACTTGATACATAGAAAATATATCAATATTTGCGATCTCACTGAACGACTAATGCCATACAGGAGTTCGATTTCTATCCTTTCCCCTTGCCTTTAAGTATAATACTTTCAGGGTGTTAGGGCATGGTAATCCTGTTCAGTCTTCGCGCACTTGTCCTCCTAATAAGACCATCTGAACACTGGATATCATTTGGTCAGATAAGCATGAGATTTTCAAGCTCGTCCATGCAGAGAGCGCTGAGCCAAACAGTGGGGAGAAGGCAATGGCCTACGTCTGCATTGCTTGTCGGAGCTTCCGATGCCAAGGATTCTACCTTTCGTCAACCTATACAAGCCCGTGAGTCCTTGACAAAGTGCGGCCTAAACGACCCGAAACGAGCTTCCCAATAGCCA